TCTTTTGGAAATACCTGAGAACCTGTCAAATTCAATCTTGCTAGCTGGATATTTAGCTAGGGAAAACCAGAATTCTGGACTTCAAGAACAAATACTTGACACCCAGCAAGTTCATACATTTTGAAACAAATTTGGTAGGAGTTATACTGAGATTTTTAAAGAAAGCAAAGATTTATAAAGTTGTAAACAAGAGAGAGGCAAGTAAGGTTGAAGGCTAGAGGGAAAATGAAATAATAAAATGGCAAAGAAATACAAAAAAATTAGGAAGACGTTTTAAAATGTGCTAGCTGGGAGAATAGTTTTCTCCTCTTTTATTTTATTCTGAGTGAAGACTTTTGTTCTGTTAGTCAAAGATAAAATCTAAAAATAAACCTGGTGTTATTGCTGGCAGGGTAGCAGGACATGTAATTTTTTGTATATACATTACTGTGGAGTGAGCTAAGAAATACAATATATTGAGTCTTAAAATTGCCATTAATGTGTTGCCTGCTCAGGCAATAATTTTTCTATGATCTCATTTTTTCTTAACTGATCTCATCCCTCCTTTTTGCCTAAATTTTCTTAGTCTATAGCAAACACCTTCATGGAACTAATATTTACTTGTTATAAATTACTTTTTCAATGTCTTAACTTTGCTGTAGTATTTACCAAATTGCGCTAACCTCCTTTTGCTTTGCATACAGCAATAGCTTTCTTTAATATTTATCCATTCTCATGTATTAGGATAAAGACCTACATAACCAAATAAGTAATATCCAGATTTTAAAAAAAGTGTTAAGGAGTCATAAAGATGTAGGACAACAATAGAAAATAAATAACTCATTTTTAAATGATCTTTTCAAGGGAGCTGGCTTGCAAAAACTTTTGAAAAATCACCATCTAAAACTTGGGCCCTTTGAATGTGTTCAGTTTGAATATCCCAAAATGGAAATGTTTAAGGAAATTAAACAGTGCCATGGGACATTCTTGGGAATTGGGACTCTACCATTATTGTTGCTTTTAAATTGCTGGAACTGTCTCTGGCCCACAGTGATTAGCACTCCCCAAGCAATCTCTGTGCATCATTCAGAGGCTACAGGGGGACAGGGATTACTCTCAGTAGGCAGCTTGCATACAGCCACTCTATTTTAGCAGGAAGGTGAGTTTAATACTGTGGATGCAGGCCAGCTGGCCTCTGAGCTTAGCTTCTATCTTAGACTGCTCTCTGGCACTGAGACCAGTGGTGTAAAATGGCCTGCTTCTGTACTACTAAATACCCCGAGTTTGCAGAGTAGTTGCATCCACATCATTGCTTATTAGGATGGATTCCTGGCTCATGTTACTTCCCATATCATGCCTGAGGACTGTTTGAGAAAACGTTAATTGTCCTAGGACAAACAATACCAGGAACTGTTCTAATGATTTAACAGCCTAGAAGAGTCAACTCCAATGCCCAGGAAAACTCCCTGGCTCTGCTTTAGTTATATTAAGGCAATGTCGCATTAATTAGAAATAAGCTGAGAGGGTACAAACACACTCTCAGACGGAGACCCTGGGTGGATGAGCAAAGTCAAAGCAGCATGAACTTCGTCAAAGCCAAAGTAGGAGTTCAGGCTTGAGCATAATTTGCTTTGAGAAAGGAGTAGAAAGAAACCTGCAGGGATCAGATAAAATAATTTAATAGAATTTTCAACTTTAGAGGAAATTATGTGAAATATTCTTTTAAGTTTTTTTTTAATGTATCTCTTGGTAGTTGGATCCCAGCTGGAGTCTTCTAACTGGAACTGAAATTTCCTTGCATTGTTAATTTTGCAAAGGTGGCATCACTGTGACTGTCATTTACAGAAAAACTGGATATTGAGTGGAGGAGGAGAACTATTGACTTGACCTGTCCTTCCCTTGCCTTGTCTGTCCTTGCCTTGCCTCTCCTGGCCTTGCCTTTGGATAATACAACTCACACTGAGGGTTTTTTTAACTTTTGTGTTGGCAATACAAAACCTCTGCTGACTTAGAAGCAGGTTTATGGATGAGTAGCTCTTTTCAATGAGTATGTCACTTTTCATAAGAAGAGTGGAAGGGAATTACTTTGGGGTATGAGGATGTTTGCCAGTGTTGTGAGAAAGTTCCTTGTTTAAAATGAGAGCTGGTAAGAGGAAGAGGTTATAGTTTACAGAGCAAGTGCAAAAGCATGCAACTGCTAAAAGGAATCACTGAAAGTTTATCTGAGGGTATGAGTGTTCAGATCTGTTAGTCATTACTGATTGCCACTCTTCAAAATACCACCCAGCTGGAGTTTTCTTAGTAAAAAAGTTACATTTTATTTTTCATGGAGCCCATCTCAGTTAAATCAACTTTAATAATTACAAGGTTAATAAAAATTCCCACCAATTCAGAAGACAAAGAATTTAAATACATTTTAATTTGGAAATGTTTGGTATTTCTATAGATAGAATTTTGCTAGTGAAAGTAGTTTTGAAATATACTGTATTACATTCAGACTGATAGATTTTTCTTAAGTAATTTAGCACAATGTGGTGTATTTCTGGTAGTACTATCCACTAACACCATCCAGGATTTTTCCCACCAAGATTCATGCCTGACTTCAAAGTACATAACTGAGTCTCTTCAGACTGGGATCCAAATTTTTATATTCAAATTAAAAGGATTCAACACCATGGCTATAGTTTTGACTTGTTTTAAGGGAAATAAAATAGCAGTCATTTTACTCTTCTCCCTTCTCTGTCCTTGCCTTCATATACACATACATATTCTTAGCATTTTTTCTGTAATTATCTTTCTTTCCCCTTGCTCTGCTCCCACAAATCATATCTTAGCGTTATCTTTGTATTACAACCGTGCTGGAGTATTTCATGTTATATTAGTAAAAATAATTAATAATTAGATATGCCACTAAGATGGTAAGGTGGAAAATAGTTAATATGTCAGGATATCTGTATCCCATTAGAACTGGAATTTTGTTTCTGTTCAATTTGGCTTGCATTCAACATCCTCTGATTTTGAAAGAATAAGCAACCCGAGCATATTCCTACGCTTCTGAATAAAGGCATACTGTAGACTGCACATGAATAAATCCAGGCAGTCATTTTTATTGTCATCAAAGAGTATTTTTATTCTATGCCCACAAATGTTCTTGATAATCTATGAAAGAGGCCTCTGAGCTAACAAGTGAAAACAGGCATCTTTCTCACCCCTTGCCTTGGCAGAAGTACATGATTAGCATTCATCAGCAGTCACAAGTGAACTCATGTAAAGGCTTGTCTACAGACAGATGTTTTTCCAATTGAGTCTTTGATTGGCCCACTTGTACTTGTGCAGTATGACATGACCTTTAATTATACAGTCAGATACTACTTTTCCACCAAGTATTTGCCTCATTCAACGTACAAGATGGATGAGAGTACACTGGGAATTGAATTGGGTTGGGCAATAAGGGAGATCGCTGATTAGGAGTATCTCAGTTTAGTAAGATGAGGATGCCACTGCAGTTTGATGAGTATTCTTGCCACCTTTAATCTTTCAAGCCAGGCAGACAAACAGGCAACTAGCTACCTCACAGGTTTATTCCTAGCCACAGGTATTTAAGAACATGAGCAGACACACTAATTGAAGCCATAGGTCCATCTAACCCAGTGTCCTGTCTCTGACAGCAGTCAAAAGTGGATGCATATGAAAAAGTTTAAGGACAAGGCAATATTGCCTGCAGGTATTCCCCCAACTGCCATGCTTTTGTGGCTCAGGGATTTCCTAATCTGGATGGGTCTTTAATGTAAGTATTAAACCTCAGTTGATTTCTCTTCACCAGCATCCCATTAAGCCCTTTAAAGTCCTTTTAATCTTTTGCCATATGCTGCCTTCTGTGGCAAGGCTCGTGGCTCACCTCCCCCTGCTTGCCTTAAGACTGCCATGTGCTGGCTTTCTGTGAATGGTCAGTCCCTATCTATTCTCATTATGCAACTCATGCATATGTCTCATATTCTTTCAAAAAAGAAGGATGCTGAGCAGAAGCCAGAGGATGTACTCAGAGTCCCAGAAAGCTTGTAGCATGCCCAGAAGGCAGCCAGCCTTCACTTCTGCTGTTATCCATGTCAGCTTGGCCTGCCCGTCTCTGCTATTGTCAGATATAGACATACATTGTGGTATTTCTGCTTCAGTTGCTCTTGGAAAAAAACAGACTGCTGATGGCTGAAATATAAGATTTCAGGAAGTGTATGAGTGCTCTTTTGGCGAAGTTGAGTGCCCCTGTAGACAACAGGGTTTTCTCTCTGATGCAGCCACAGAATTTCTGTGTGATGCTAAGCTAGTCCACTAGATGAGACTTTTCCCTGATGGCCATTAATTATGTGTTTGAAATCATGGGGTTTGATTTGCAGAAGTGCTGAGCACTCACAGCTGCAGTTGACGTCATTGAGAACTGTACTTTGTACATGTGAAGTGCTGCTTAATGCCAAGTTCCGTGAAAAATCAGTCCCTTCCCATCTCGTATCAGTCACTGCAGTTAAGATACTTTTGACCTGAATTTCTTTGCGTTCTGTTTTCCCTGTTTGTAATGGAGGACTGATACCACCCTGCCTCATCAGTGTTAGATTTCCAAATTCTCAGGCACTACCACAAAAAGCATCACAGTGTAGCCCACTCTAATAGTAATTATGTAATTCAGAGGGGGTTTCCATCCCGCGTGGGGTATGAAGTCAAAATCTCAACGACAAAAGGGGGTACAGCACAAGTATCTACCCATTCCACTGCCACTAGCCATTCTGGGCACTGATCTCAAAAGAAAAAAAAAAATACTGATCACATAACAGGCAGCTTTTGTTATTTACTGGAGGCTGAACTTACATTGCCCAAGTAGCCTTGGTTCTGGCATCTCCTATTTTTCCTGTATTTTCCCAGCACTTGGCAAGGTGTTTGTTTAGACAGCATGCTTGAGGCATCGGGTCAACCTGAACTGATTTGCATTGTGAAATTCTTCTAAAGTATTTTGTTTGCATTTTGCCTTCCAGAAAATACCTGCAACAATAAACGTCTGGACCTTGTCTTCATCATTGACAGCTCTCGCAGCGTACGTCCTTACGACTTTGAAAAAGTGAAGGAGTTCATTTTAACCATCTTGCAGTTTCTGGACATCAGTCCTGATGCCACCCGCGTAGGTCTGATTCAGTATGGCAGCACAGTCAAACATGAGTTTTCGCTGAAGACATTCAGGAGGAAGCAGGATATCGAAAGAGCAGTGAAGAGGATGATGCACCTCGCAACTGGCACCATGACTGGACTGGCTATTCAGTATGCAGTGAACATCGCATTTTCAGAATCAGAAGGAGCTCGACCTCTGAAGCAAAATGTGCCCCGAATTATCATGATAGTGACAGATGGGAGACCTCAGGATCCAGTGACAGAGATTGCCACTAAAGCACGTAACTCGGGAATCTTGATTTTTGCCATTGGAGTGGGAAGAGTAGATATGAACACGCTGAAGTCCATTGGGAGTGAACCGCATGAAGAGCATGTGTTTCTGGTTGCTAATTTCAGTCAGATTGAAACACTGACCTCTGCCTTCCAGACTAAACTTTGTGGTAAGGTTTTTATCTATAGTTTGAATGCATATATGAAAGTAAAACACAGAAAAAAAATATGCATTATAATCAAAATTTTTTTTTACATGGAACTTTATCTGTTAGAATACATATATTGAAAAAAAGGGAGACTAGCCAGACAACATTCAGAACAGCAGTCATATATATATGGGGAACAACTAATTCTACTGCTAAGTGCCATAAAATGTGATCTAATTCCTAGTGGTCATAAGCAGTGAGGCAAACAGACATACCATGATTTTCCTATTCATTGCATAATAGCAATAAATTTACAACCCTCTGCTATTTGAATATTAGATAAGTTGTTTCATCTATTGATTTTAAATGTGATCTCCCTTAGTACTGAAACTTCAAACTGAAAAACAGTCTTTTGATTATTTAAAAAATTCTATGGAGTTCATGGATTCCTCTTCCAAAGCTTACATATTAATTCTATGCAAACAATTATCTCTGCACATGCCTTGTGACTGGAATTAAGACACAGAGACATGGTAGTGGTTTTATTCCATCCATTTTACAGACAGAAAGTTAGGAAAAGCCATTACAGTTGTTTTATTCATTCATACAATAAAGTAAATAATATTTTAATAGGTGTTAATTTACACTGAGAAATCGCTTCCATCTGTAATCCCCTGATAAGAAATTACCTTTTACAAATATCATGGCATACATAATTCATTTTATTCAATCTCTGTACTTGATAGAATTTTCTTTTTTAGTTTTTCTTGAGATAAATAGAAAGAACTTCATACAGATTTGGCATTAAACTGAGGCATTTTCAGCTGAGTCCAGAAAAAGAATGCATGGTGAGATTGAATGCTCACTCATCTCTAGGGATGCTTTTGCCAGAAAAGAACTGAGGCTTATTGTCAGGATAGTCTGGAGAATTTTCCTTACTTGGTCTCTTCCAAAATTGTTTCAAAGAGCAACAGGGCTCCAGCTGAACTATATCAGCACAGAACACCATCACAGACATTCATCAGATAATAGATTTTTTTCCTATTTCTTCCTTGCCTATTATTAGCTGGCATAGTAAGATACTTTTAAAAACCAAGAAAGAATAAACTAAACATGGATTGAGAGTTTAAATGGAATTAACAGCAAACGCTTCAAAGCTTGATCTTACTGAATTTTTTAATTGCATTTTAGAAAGAAATCCAGTACAAATACCACTTACTCTTTTTTTCAGACTAGGCAGTGTCCAGTAAATGTGTTAGTGTTTTACAGCTCACTTTTAATCCAAATACATGTGATCCTCTATAAAACCACCTTCAGGTGGAGGAGTATGGAGGTGACAAGGTGACAAGGATTGCTGCTGCCTCCTTTTCTCCACATTTGCCGTGTCAGGAATTGAAGGTGAGATCCAAAAATGCACTTAAAAACCCAGGCCCAGACGCAACAGAGAATTTAAGCTGTTAGATTCTTATGGATTTCAACTTAAAGGACTAAATTGCAGGTAGGATCCTTAATATTTTATTGAGTCTGGGCTGTGAAGCAGCGTTCAGCTTGCTGAATTTCAAGAGAACAATCTAAGCACCCATAGCCTCTGCTTCCTAGAGCACCTACATTCCTCACGGGAAATGTGGTTAGTTCTTTTTAAGTCCTCCCCAGTGTGGACCCAGAGGCAATATCATTGTAGCTGAGTCAAACATCTGGACACCTTGTTTCTTTGCTAGAGCAATTGAAGGCATCCCTCTGTTCGAGTCTCCTGGCATGCAGTCTGCTGGGCTGCATGCTGTGGGAAAAGACCTTGGCACTGGAGCTCTCCTTGTGTCTGGATTGCCCTTATGTCTGTGGGAATGTGTCTTCATGGTTCCTGTGAAGATAAAAGAAAAACCTGGCCATGTGATGAAGCTCTGTGGGGAAAATAAAAAGTAAACCAAATTAACCACTGTTTACCCATGAATGGCAGAGATTATCCAGTGCGTAGCAGCTATATTCTCAGAAGAATCCATATAAACTGGCTGTGCCCCATCCTCTGCTAAGTCAGACTTTCCCTACAGTTGCTGCCTCTGGCTGCTAAAGATTTGGGGGTGTCAGAAACAGCAGTTGAAGCCAGGGGATCCCAGGGGCCTCTTTTTATTACCAGTCAGCAAGGTAAAAGAGAAGCAAACAGTAACCTGGGAAATCAGGGGCATGAGGAGTGAAATGAGTTGAAAACTCATAAGAGAAACAGAAATGGTGACAGAATCCAGGAAAGGAGGTGGAGGTTGAATAGAAGGAGAGTGAGAAAGACAGAGGTTGGGATGGAGCAGTCAGGAGCAAATAAAGTCTTTATTATTATTCTGTGAAGTAGATAGTGGTGTCATCCCCATTTTACACTGAAGGAACAGAGGCACAGAAACAGGGTTAAGACTGTCAAGATCACCCACTAACTTTAAATATTTGACTCATTGCAATTCCTGGTCTGATTCTCTGGGGTATTTAGCATTTTTAGACTGATATAAACTAATATAACATACCAGTCACTTGCAGCTGAGAGAAGCCTGCGTTCTTGCAAATCCAGATTCAGGTGTCTCTAGCTAAACATATACAGTGTGAAGGTTGATGCTTGCTTGAAGATACTGATATTATTGGTTTGCCCAGAATCAAATAAGGACCCTGTGACATAGACAGAGATAAAATCCAGTTCACAAGGCTCACATTCAAATTCCTTAACTATGAGATCACCCTTTCTATTACTTCAGTCCCTGGCTGTGTCCACCAACACCTCCTGCAACAAATGAGGTTGCAGAAATCACGCATACAGCAGCCAGCCTCCTTCACCACAGAAATCTGACTGGTGACCAGAGTACCACTGATTCTTTGAAATGGGTGCAACAGAGACACTTTGGAAAAAAATTTGTGTGATTGATAGTATATCAGAAGATTGGTAACAGATGGTAACAATATATTCTCAGAAGGGACTGAGTTATTGGGAGGCTTATCATTGAATGCTTCTTTTTTCTTCTTTTTTTTTTTTCATTTTTTAGTACTCTGTTTTGCAACCTTATGTTCTTTTGGTATGGGAGGACTGACTGTTTTTGTAGTAACATTCGATAGGTTCACGTTCTATAGCATTAGTATATGTTAAGATTCTCTGATGCTTAAACTACTGAAATTAGTATATTTTTGTCGTATTTGAAAGTGCTTCTTTGGTCATAACAAGCTATACCTGATGTCGAAAGCTAGTAAAATACAGCCAAGAGGAAACTTCTTTTTAGGAAGTATCAAAGGTCATAAAGTTCATTTTCAGAATGATAGAAAGATTAAAAGACAAGAAGTCCAAGCAGGTCTGTATTCACTTAAATAAAAGTACTTGAGAGGTTTTATTGTGGCAGAAAATTATGAGATCCAAAAAGCTGCTTAAGAGTTTTGGGAATTGTGGTGGTTTGTATATTAGTAATAAATGCGTAACTGGTAACCATTCCAAAGACCAGATACATAGTATGTATCTCGAAACCACATTTTTTTTCCACAAGTACCACACATACCACATGTTAAGTTATTTATCAGGCTTCTGTTGTGGCTGCTAGAAGATTACTGCTAATATCTATTCCATAAATTTTGAGCTTTGTCAAGCTAGCACATAAATCCCTAATTGTTGTTGAGCAAAATATATTATTTTCCACACAATGTTCTCTGAGAAGTAATTCACCTATGTATTACAGAAATTACATACAAGCAATGCTCCAGTGGAAAGAAAAAGCCAAGGACATTTCTTGATTCCCAACTACTGATCTGGAGAAAAGTAGTTCAGCAATGAATTTGACACAGTGGGCCCACTATTCTTTTTCTTTCTTACTGTCTCTGTTGTATTTTACTACTTGCTATTAGAGACATAAAATACAAACAGATTAAAAACAGACTCAGAAAGACTATACTCTGGAGTGCAGCTCACCTCAGCTCCCACTTACTGAATCTTGGAGATGCATGACTTCAGTGTCATCCTGTATCGCTTTTATGTTCCTCAACATTAATAACTAAGCAAGCAAGATTCTTTATCAAGTTGTTCTCTAGTCATTCTTCTTTAGTATTGTGCTGTGTGGTGATTTTCTTCATTCAAGAAATTGAATGTACTCTAGAATAGTTTGTACTTAAAATCCACTTATTTTCTAAATTTGAATGTGGTAGGTTTGCTTCATTGTCTTCTTGGGACCACCAAGTAATTAGTGTTTCCAGATACTCTATTGTATATTTTTGTTTTGTTTATATCTCTATTCCATATGTAATTTCATGTCCAAAAACATGCCACCAATGTCAGCCAGATAGAAAATATCTAAATTCATACTTTTTTTAGGAATAAATACATAGTACTGCTTGTTAAGGATTTTTTACAGTGTTATAGGCTTGAGCTTCCATTTTTGTCTTTACTATCAACACTTAATTTGAAATTTCTGAATTACTTCAGTAAAATGTTCTACACTATTTTTTTTGGTTGTGACCACAAGTAAGAAAGACCAGCAGTTAATAATGTTTTACTTTTTTTCTTTCAGTGCCCCATATGTGCAGTACAGTTGAGCATGACTGTGATCACTTCTGCATAAACACCCCTGGCTCCTACGTATGCAGATGTAAACAAGGATACATTCTGAATGCTGACCAGAAGACTTGCAGCAGTATGTTATCTTTCTTAACTTCTCTTTTTCATGCTTCCCAAAAGTGCTTAACATCACATACCCTTTTTGTTGGGCTCATAAAGAAGGACTGAGCTCAGTATATAATTAATGGTAATCATCAGAAAGAGTCTGAAAAGGTGAAATTGTAATTCCTTTTCTTGTTTTGTGTAACTGAAGTTCTTATAAACCTTTCTGAAATACAGCAAGCTAATTTTTATACACAGCTCTGCAGAGGTACACTGTAGCTACATAAAATTGCATTTTAATTTTTTGGAGTAGTAAGTTCAACAATGAAGCAACAATCAAAGAAAGAACTGTTTTATCATCTCACATGAAGTGAATCCAACTACTTTAGTAATTTGTCCAGATAGCAACCAGTACTAAAGAGTACAGAAAAGTGCAATAAACCCCATATTAGAGAACTGTGAAATAACTTGCCATTCTGAAAAGCTATTCCTAACTGCTGCTTGAAGTATAAGGGTTTGCAACTGTTCAAAGAATAGATTCAAGTCTTGCTTATGCTCTCATTTCCTTCTTTAAAAGAGTTGACTTTTTTCAGTTTTAAGTAATTGGCTTTATAGTTTATAATAACAAAATGTATTTCACTTTAAATGTAATCTTAAGCAGTATTTCTTTTGTCCATATTAACTTGCTTCCGAGTAATTAACAGCAGACTATGTTAGATGGGTATGCCAAATTTATTTCTGTATCCACCATTATTTTAAGGAAATTAAGTAATACTCTTTTTAATTACTTGTGGAAAAGTTATTTGCTAAAAATGAAGTTTCTTATCCCACAACAGTGCATGAATTCAAGTGAAATTTGCCTAACTGATTTTAGCCAGAAGAAAAATTTTGGAAAACATCTTTTCAAAAAGCTGGAGGAGAGAGTCATGGTGAGAGCATAGGATGTACCCCTCATAATTGATAATTTAGAATTAAGCTGAAGGGTGCAGGCTCAAATCCTATCCTTGTGTTTGAACTCACATGTTCCACATCTCAGGAGAGTGCCGTAAAACAATCGGGTGTCTTGGAATTAGCAGGTTTTTAGTCTCTCTTGCTTAGTGTTGTATTTTATATCAAATACTTAATGATTACTGAAACAGCAAGAGTATGTCAGTATCTGAGGTGACTCTGCAGCTTGGGGATTAGAGTCCTTGCATATGCAGTGGAACACATGGTTTCAGTCAGAGCCTCAGTAAATAGGAACGGTAACAAAAGGATGTCAGCACCGGAGTGTTCTGGGCATTCTCGCTGCTGTGTGGAAGCGTCTTCAGATGCTTTGGGCTACAGCAGGAAACTGCTTTTGAGCTGGTCACCTCCTATGCTGTCGAGCTATGGTATGAGTTACTTCTAGGAATCTCTGTTTTCTAGTCCTTCTCACCAGCATCCTTCACCAAATGTAGACATTTGTCATATGCGTGTGTGTGAATTATAGGGGAATGTTTTGTGTTAAATGGAACAAATTTAACACTTTATTCGGTTTTTTTGTTTCCTCAAGGAGATGCAAAAAAATTCAATCCATTCTGGAATATTTCCTAATTATTATTTGGTTTAACAGCTGAGTGAAGACAAGAATAGTGACAAGAAGAATTTTTCACACAGCCTGTTTTCTCTGCTTCTACATAGTTACTATAGCTCTTCAGTAAGAGGGTGGTCAGAATCCCAAATGATGACTCCAACTATGTAATCACGTTTCAATAATACTCTCTAACCTATTCTTTTCATTGTGTCCCTCTTAAAATGCTTCTCATTTAAAACTTTTGTATCATTTAAACCTTTCTTTTAAACCCTCCTCATGCTATTAATTTTTTTAAAGAATTTTTAAGAAGGAATTCTTTTGTTTTCAACTCTCTGGAAATTATTTGAAATTCAAAATTTCTCCTTTTTTTAATTTCCTCTCACACATTTTCCCTATCCTCACCCCTAATATCAATTTTGACAATTGAATTTTTGGGGGAGTCAATTCAAAAAATTTTAATTACAAGTATGAAAAATTCTTTCTTTATTATGTCTTCTTCTTTTTTATTGTGTTACATTTCCATGGTTTTTATCAGCCAGTAGTTCAACTTTTGGGCACTGCACTGTTTCAAATTACAGATTTATTTCCAAGAGAGTTTTGGAACTGTGGTAGTTTTCCTACTGGTGACCCATGCACAGTAGCCCTCAATATGTTCCCTCTCTACCATTTTTTGAAGCCCATTGCTGCATTGCTTTACTTTTTTTTTTCGCTATGACTCAGTCTTATATTCATTTTCCCCACTTACCTGTCACACATTATTTGCTTGACTGTGTACTTGTTTTGATCATCAATCAGATGATACTACATTGCAGTTTGCTAAATATGAAAGGGAAATGAGTCATTCAATGTGTTTGTAGCCTACTTCTAATGGACTTTTTTCTACATCATGAAACTATAAACTAATTTTAGCAATTAGCACTGGAAATCTAATATTGAGACCCATCAAACTGGCCTTAAATATGCTAAGGTAGCGCAAATCATTGGTGAAGGAGGGAGATGATACAGTAGCAGTCTAGACAAGGTCAGATCATTATGGCTAAAAACTCCCCAGAGAAGTAACAGAATTCATGAGGAAAGGGGACCAAACCTGGACAAACTGGACAGCTTATTTCTGGAGGGAAGGGGAAGTATGGCGATGGAAAAACCCACAGTCTGTGACCTTTTTAGTTACTTTTATTGGCTGCTGATTGTCCACAAGTGCAGAGAGACATGTTCCTCACCTGACCTCTCAGTAAAATAAATCTTCATCATGTTTATGTTTAATGCAATACATGATCAACATAAACCAGATGTATTTGTCTAAGATTTGGATATATTTGTCAGCTCTTTCATGAACAAATAGTTTCCTTACATATCTATTTTAACACTTTCTAAATTAAACCATGCAGAAAAGATGAATGGTATGTACCTAAAGTTATACTTTCTTTTCATTCTTCTGTATCTAAAGTTATACTCTTTTTTCATTCTTCTGTTCCCTTTTTTTTATGTTGTCAGAGTACACCATATCAGTATGCAGTTCTTAAAAGCCCTTAACCAAATAGTTTCAATCAGCAATGAATTGATAACTTTGCTTCAGGCTGGAAAAGGGTGCATTTCTCTTTTGAATAGGTGATAGTTTTGTTCCTTGATACATTTCATTATAACATTATTATAACATTATTTCCTTGCATTGAAGGAAGAAAATCTGCCATACTTGTGATTTGTTGCTTTCCACTTGGGGGGAAAAAAAAAAAAAGGCAACTTGGCTATCTTCCAGAACAAAACTAGGGGAAAAAAGTTCTTTTGTTTAACTTGAAATATTCTTACATTTATTTCATTAAGATAGTTTTGCATCCATGCAAAGGATGCTCCTTTCACGTTCTCTGATCTAACTTTAGTTCTAGAGAAGAGTGGTTGTGTCAGATAATGGCTATTCTTTACTCATTACGCTGTATTTGTTTGTTTAACTTAATCTCTTCCATACTTCTCTAGAGATGTTCAAATCTTACATTAATACACAAATTAGTACAAAAGAGGAAATGTAGCTGAAACAAACTGGAAAATTATCTATTTGTGTGTGTTTATACTGGAACAAGAGAGTTAAAGAACTGTTTATGCTGTTCATCATGCCGCTTGATATGAAGCAGACAGCTATAAAGGAAAACTCATATTTGCTTGGCTAGTTTCCTCAAACATGTTCCAAAAGCCTTTTTTGTAGCTGTAAACAATCATTATGTGTTGAGCAGTCTTTGGGCCTGATCCTGAGCAACACAAAGTACTCTGCTTTCCAAAGATTTCATGGGGAAAACTTGGGGTTCTCAGAAAGCTTTAGTCTATTGAAAAGAAAGCCCAATGTGCTTCATTCGGCGAGGTGCAGAACTGAACTCATTTGTCTTAGCAAATTTCCTAATGAGATCTTTTGCTTGGGAGGGGTAACTTGCTATGGTATTTTGCACAAAACTGAAAAATTATAAAACTCAGAAATGAAATATCCCCAAGTCTTTTGGTGTTGTGTTTTCCTTTTCTTTCCCTTTCCAAACTCATCATCATTTATCTGGTAGGGTTATGCAAAAAAAAGAGGAAAAAAAAAAAGACACAAAGAAACACAATTAGTTTTTTTCCATAAAAAACTGAAGAGTGCTCTTCAAACTTTTTAGAGAAACATACAGTAAAGAAACTCTACTAGGCACCATTGGCCAATCAATTGTTGTTGCCTTTGGCTGAAGGAATTAGCTCAGCTTTGAGTGATTTTTTGTGCTGGCATAAGACTTTCACTGTTTGACGAACATTGGCATGATCTGTGTTAAAACGAGCTCATCTCTAAAAAGCTGTTCATAGCTTTCTGAATTTTTTTTTATCTATAGTCTACCCATGCATAATAGAAGGTCAAAGAATTTCATATTCATGCAATTATGTTTTGTAGCTCAGGACCTTTGTGCTGTGGAGAAACATGCCTGTGAGCAGATTTGTGTGAACACACCTGGGTCTTATGTCTGTCAGTGTTACGAAGGGTATGAGCTTGATGCAAATGGAAAGAATTGTGTCGGTGAGTATGAATTTAGCAATTCACATTTATCTCTTGACACAAACCAAAGGGAAATTCAATGTAAATTAATATCCCGTTTAGGCTTAGACAATGATGGGAAGCTCTGTTCTCCAATATGAGTGGTAGATAAGGAAGAATACATATTGGCATGTTCGTAGGCCTTTACTGATAATGAATAGTGACTTGGGAAAATTGTTCCAACTAATTTCACACAGAAAGTAACATTAGTCTTTTGAAACAACACACCAGATGATTTATTCTAGGTCCATGTAGGTGGCCAGCAATGTACTGACATGATATATGTGGCCATTAAAAAACAAAGCCAGACAAACTTGGTAGCTCCTCTTCAGACAGAAGTTATACATGGAAAAACTTGCAAATGGACAATTTCTTGTTATTTCTCACTTGTTTTTATGGTCATGCCAGGAGATATTTCAAACTCTTTTGGGGAAGATGACTTTAAGGAAAGTTTAGCCCTCCTTAAGAACCCATCCACAATGTGCCTTTAATTTTCGCTATGGGCAGTAAAGAAGCAAACATCAGCTCTAAGAAGTACAACTCAAAAGAGTGAGTGTGGAAATACAGCATAATAATATTTTAAACAAAAAACATACTTCCCTCTTTATTACCACCTAAGTATCTCACTCTTCTTCCTCATTTATACACAGTAAATACTTCTAGGATAATCTCCACTAGCCTGTTAACCTTCTCATAAACTTTTCATCCCATGCTACATTTTGGGAAAATACTGTCTTCTGGTATCCACCACAAAAAACCCCCTAGTTACTCCTTGAAAAAAAATCACCTTATTTGTTAGGTATTCTCTTCAGGCAAGCACTTAAATGCATGCTTAATTTCCAACACATGCTGAAATCCCATGGAAGTGAATTCAAGTGAATCCTTGACCCCAGATCTGCCACAGGCCACCACAATGCTTTTGTCCAACAGCTTAACTTTCTTGTCATTTTAAACAACTCTAACATAATATAATCTGTCTCTTACTACCTTCACAGAGTTATTCTCTTGCAGGATAATCCTATTTTGAGGCACAAAATAGATGATAGTTTATGGAACTGAACTTTCTGCATGTAGTTTCACATGGGTCACACAAATGAGTTGCTGAGGATTTTTAGACTGAGGATAACATATGCAGTTTTGAAGAACATTCACTCTGTACTTACTCTTCAGAAATGTTTCCCTTACTTGTAGCTTCATGATCTCAGTACAGGAGTCTTTACATTTCTCAGCATAATTTACCCTCAGCATAATTTGGCCACTAATATACCATTTTAAGAACCTACTTTCTGAAGTTGAATTGTTTTGAAAATGCAGCTAATAATGACTATTTAGGCAAGAAGGCCCATTAGGTGTTCTGGCCCAAATTTCTACATCTAACACTCCACAGAAGTTCATCCAGTAACCTTAGCTAATCCTCATGACCTTTAGCTGTGTTAGAATAAAGCATGTATTTCTCTGCTACTGATTTGACTATATCTTGAGACAGAAAATCCATGACTTCTGTTGATAGGTTCTTTTATCACAAATTCTTTCCTACCATATATTCTAATCCGAAATATTCATGCTTATTGTCATCAGCTGTTGTTACCATTTCCTCTCTATTAAGTTGAAGGGTCCTTTACAGCCCAAGATATTCTTATCAGGAAGATAGCTACCATAGCATCATAGGGATGAAAATAAATTTTGGTGAAATTCTTTGTATGACAAACCTAATATTATCCTCTATAATAAATAGAAAGTCTATTTTTCTTATTAAAAGCTTCAAAATATTTCTGTGCCATTTATTAAATTTCTTACAGTGGCGCTTGTTTTTTGCCTGTTAATAATTCCTCTGCAAAGTCTGAAGAGTGCTATTTGGAGATGTGATACATCTTTAACATTTTTTTTTCTCCCTCCTCACTAACTCTCTTCGGCATGGAAGGATACAGGCCTATTATAAGCTCTATTGATGACACTTGAAGCTTTCATATTCTCAATTATTTTCAATTATTTTCAAAATACAATTCATGCATGGGTTCACTATGGTATCTTGCATTTTATAGCTGTCTTTCCTCTCCACTTGGTTTCTATTCATTTATAACTAGTTCAGCAAAAAAACATGAACTCATGCTATTCATACCCCTGCAATAATTAGAAGTATTAATTGTGATTTTAAAGCACATTTTTAGCACTTCTATTTTTCAAGTTTCTTTTGCATTTATGTGACCATTTGTCTTTGTCATTTCTTACTGATGCGGATGAATGGTTCAATATATATTAATTATGTTTTACCCTTGCAGAACTTAGCCTCTCTACATTTCCTGAACAGGAAAAGATTGACTGGGTAATTTGCGGTTTTGATGCTAATTTGTCTGCAAATCATATTAGCTATCAGTCTCCAGAATTTGACTTTTCATATTTGAATGATTTGAGATTTTTGAGGAATATGCTGCTACCAAGAATGTACAGCTTCCACAGATGTGATCACAAATGAATAATCATCCTTGCTGGAAAATCTTGTAAAGGAGACTATGTATAGTTCTGAATCAGTAGTGATAGCTCTCGGTTTTCATTACTCTTAAGCTAGTTAACCATTCCTTTCTGTGAAGTATTTATTATCAAATGAGCAGGATCAGAAGAAAGATCTTGAGGTACACATATACCAGAGACCACCGAGTACAATGACAATTTTGCTAAAAGCAGTGACTTCATAAAGATTACTCTCTCCTCTTCATCCAGAGAATGAAGAGAGAATTTCAGTAGAACATACACATTGCAGTTCTCTGAAAGAGCCAAAGGTTTCTCTCTAAGATATCTAAGACTTCAGAACTTTAACTCCAGCAAAAGTAAATGAGGGTATGCAGAAAACTCATTTCACAGGCAGGTTTACTAAGTTCCCTTCCTTCTTTCTGATGGGCTAATTTCTCTGGTTAAGGATCAAAGGCAATACTAATTGCTGTATTGACACGTCAGCCAGTTACCTGAATAGCAATAATTAAATAAAATCTCACAACCAGCAGCTCACAACATATCCATTCAAAGTGATCACTGAATGGCCAACGACTCTGAGTGTTTGCAACACACTGTTTACAGACAAATTTGTAGACTAAACAATATTTGAAACTGTCTGCTCAGTGATAAGTATGGCTGGCAGAGCACTATCACTTTGCCTTTTTAAACAGCTTTTCATGTTAACTTCCCTTCTTTCACATGAACAAAATCCTGTCAGTTAAAGTTTGGTGGTAATGAGCCATTCTTTCTCCATCCTGCTGCTGGCCACTTTGTCTCTCCACCTTCTTGATGCTGCTGGACATACTGTCCTCTCTTTCCTGGCACTGGTGGTAGACTGTCTCCATGTTGCTGCAGCTGTTGGGCTTGGGAACTCTTCTCCTGGCAGTGGTCTGGCTACTGGCACCTCTCTGCAGTCCTGGCACCGCTAGATTTTTTTGGCTGCTTTCTAGGTTCTTACGAGTCTTCCATGAGTCTGTTCTACTCTTCCCCTGCATTCTTTTTCATCCTCCTTATATGCCTTTACTTATTCTGTCACTTTTTCTTCCTACCCTTTTCTTCTACCTTTCTGCTTAACTTACTTCATTTTCTTATACCTGAATAACCTATATAAACATCATCAGAGTAAACCAACAATACAATAGAAAGGTGACTCATGCTGTCCACAGTTCAGAGAGGGCAGTGTAAGCACCCAGAGAGCAGAACTGGTAACTGGAAGTAAAAGACGGCTCTCATCATTTACCAACTAATTCCAAGCAAGAAAAACAGGTTGGAACAAACATGGGTAGATGACAACAAATTAATCACTTGCTCACTAAAAAGGTCATTAATTCATCCTTTAGAAAAGTTTCTTATTGAAATAGGCATGGGCTAACATTAAAAACAGTGAGATCTCTAAGTGTTCACATTCTAGTGTATATCTCATGACTCAGTACAGAAATATGAAAATAATATAACTTAAAAAATTAGGAAAATATTCTGCTTTGCTCTTATACAAACTGTATATTTTCCTCATACCAACTAAAGGATTACAGTACTTCAATATAAGAAATAGAGATTTATAATTTTTCTCAGTCTTTTCAGTAAGCTTTAACTCCATAGACAACTTACCTACTTGCTGACTGGAATGCTGTTAACAAGTTTCCTTTCTAAGCAAGTACCACTGAAATGAAACATGAAGCTGAAAGTGAAATGAATTTGTAGGTCAATTACTAGTGCCAGTCTGCAAGGCTAAGCCTGCCTGGAATTAGGGCAATTTGTATATAAAAATTATTGAAAAAAGGGAATAATACTTACCCCCAAAAGCAAATGTCAGAAGAAAGTTTTCACTTCTTAACTGTGTTAGTGGAAAGGCATTATTTAAGTTGGTATGCTCATGATTCTTACAAGCCAACAGACCTACTTCTGTAAGAGGTCCCCAGAAGGCTATAAATGGAAAAAAAGCAAGCCTGTAAAAATTAGTTATTTATTTTGTTGGGTTTTTTTCCTTTCTGTCCACAGTACATTAGCAGCTGCATAGCCATAAGAAGGCACAGTTCCTCCCTCAAGAGATTGTCATCTGAAAGCACTTAGGGTCATAGTTGCTCAGATGTTGCTCACATTCTAAGGCCTGTTTAGTTGTCCCTCAAACAACAAAGCTGGTGAAAGGACTGGAAGGAATGTCCTATGAGGAGCGGCTAAGGACTCTAGGTGTGTCTAGTTTGGAGAAAAGGAGGCTGAGGGGTGACATCATTGCTCTCTACAGCTTCCTGAGGAGGGGATGTGGCGAGGGAGGTGCTGATCTTTTCTCCCTGGTATCCAGGGGATAGGAGGCATGGGAATGGTTCAAAGCTGCGCCAGGGGAGGTTTAGACTGGACATTAGGAAGCATTTCCTTACCAAGGGAGGTCAAACACTGGAACAGGCTTCCTAGAGAAGTGGTCAATGCCCCAAGCCTGTCAGTGTTTAAGAGGCAATTGGACAATGCCCTTAAGAACATGCTTTAACTTCTGGTCAGCCCTGAATTGGTCAGGTAGTTGGACTAGATGATCGTTGTACGTCTCTTCCAACTGGAACTATTCTGTTCTATTCTATTCTAAAGTTTATCATCATTAGTCAGACATTTGCAGGTATTGTGGTAGAAATGCATTTCACTAGGGTTTAAATGCAGAGGAGGAGGTGACTTTATGGAGCAATCCATATGGACTGTTTCCCAGGTATGATGCTAGATAGAAAAAAATCATATACTCTTTGGCCTACTTATTTCTTAATGTGTCTTTTAAAACACTTGAAAATGTGCATGTGGTTAGAATTAATTTAAGAAGAAAGCTGACTAATTGTATGACCCATTATAACCTTGAAATATATATTCAGTAAATACATTTTCATATGAAGCTATTCAGTCTGGAAACAGGAAGGCGCTTGCCAGGAAAATGGTCTCACATAGTAGCCAGTAAGTAGTCTAATTTGACATGATTCAACACAAATATTCTGAAGCGTTAAAGAAGCTCTTTCAAAGTAACTGAATGGATTACCTGCTTTCCTCACTAGCTGACCTTGACTAAGTATCTTAGCACACCTGAATATATGCGTGATTTGCAAAGGCATGGCTATTGAAGAAGGAACTGATATAATTAAAACAAATTACTCCTCTTAGAGCAATTCGGAGGCTCAGCAGTATAAAGTAATGAAAAAATTACTCAGTTGGCAAAGAAGGGGACCCTGCCTCATTAAATGTCTGTGTGAAGCTAAGCATGTTACTGTCTTCTGCAGAAAGAATCAGGTAAACTTGCCTAATGTGGGCCTGGCAGCTCTCTGGGGATAGAACACCTGTTTTGTGACTTATCTTTAATTTCTTCTAAGAATTTCCTTGTGAAGAAACATCTTAACCTGCAAAGAAACTAAAAAAAAAATTTAACTTCTTTAGCACTTTTGAATGGGCTTGACTGAGTAAACTCTAAAGTATTACCTTATTAACCTTTGGCAATCTATCTTGTAAATATGGATTTGTGTAATAAATGCACAGACTTATGAAATAAGTGACGGATGAGCTATGATATTTTATTTTGCTCATACAAAAGGTGTTATATAAGCAAAATATCAGTGGTGAATATCAGCCTGAAGCTCTCAGGCTTCATAGCTGCAGCTGCTTTGTACAGGATGAATCTGGAGCCCATTAGAGGGAATGAATGTACTGTGACAGTCCTTGATGTAGAAGGTATCACCATGGGTCTCCTAAATACTCAGGCTACAAGAACAGCTCTTGAGAACTAATACAGCTGGGAGGGAACTAAGGAAAAGCAGAGCAATTCCAGGACTGGGACTGGAGAGACAGAAGACAGAACTAAATCAAACAAACTTTGCTACACCCTGGTCTACAGTGTGAACATCTGGACAGAGTTACTGACTGAGGCATCGTTTCCAGATCTGAGAAAACATGTTGAGAAGGCTCCTGACAATCTGAGAGCTGATAAATATTCAAAGGGTAGGAGAAATGATCCAGGATTCATATCAAATATGATTTACCAACTGATATTGAGAGTGCACTACTTTCTGCAGAAAAGGCTCTGCAGGACAGAAATTATGTCAGCTTTTCCTTCTTTCATAGCTACCCTGTGTAACTAGTACCATAATATCTATGCATAATAGTTCTAATTTTGTTTTTCTAATTGTACACATTTGTCTTGTTCTTTTTCAGTTGTAGACTACTGTGCTTTGGATAACCAAGGTTGCCAACATGAATGTGTTAACACTGAGGACTCCTACTACTGTAGATGCCACCCAGGGTTCATTTTAAATCCAGACAAAAGAACTTGCAGAAGTAAGTTGTGATAAGGTTTAATTATGAACAGTTTGTTCTTCTGTCTTCCAGTTCTCAGCAGTAATACTCCCATTGGTCCTGGGAACACTGAATAATATGTCAGGTATAGAAAATGTTGGAGCGCCCCGGAAGCCAAAGGTCCTGAAAGCAATGCAAGTTGTTTTGGGGAGTAGTTTGGGGGTTTAGGGGAGGGGCTAAGGGTAGGAGTCCCTCCTATGAACAGGAAGCTTTTAACATGAAACCAGGGTCCTTTTCAACAGTAAAAGCCCAAAGCTTTTTCTTGCATAGTCTCTTTGATTATTCAGATTTTTCAGTTAGAATATCATGTCCCTAGCTGAGTAAACAAACAAGTCTGTGCAAGACAATTTATAATCTGCTCGGTTTGTAAGACAAGCTACAATTAAATAAGAGTAGTTCCCCAATCAAAGGAAACATTGCAGCCTATTTTCCTACAGATTTTTCTCAAGAGTGAGTTCTTTGATAGTGTGCCAAAGCTCTGGCAACATCAGTGTCTTCTAGCAAGCTTCCATGTTTCCATCAGGTTATAATAACTTCATGGCTTTGTTTGTTTGTTGTTTGTCAAACTAGATTGATACCAGGCTAACAAGCTCAAAAATTACCAGAGTTAGGAGTGGATATAAAGCGGAGAGGAATTGACAGACCAGAAAGTACTCTTGCCAAGGCTTCCTATAATTGGGAAAACAAGCTAAAAACTCCACTGTGTTTAATGTCATAACTCACTTTCATGAAATGTGAAGGGAAAACCTTAATGTACCTTCCTAGTTACCTTTCTTCATAAATATGGGCCTTGATAAAGAAATGTTACTATTGTGTCTGTAAGCAGACAAACTCCATTAGTTTTAGATGAGTGGAACTGCTGATGCCAGTGGTGAATTTAGCCCATATTATTGAATAATGTGTTCAAACATTATTTCTCAAAAAATGCATCAATATAGCACTGCATTTCAGTGTTTTTTACAGCCTTGGGGGCATTTCAGTCTTTATGATGAGAGACTATGTTAACTTATAGACTGTATTGTATATTATGCTTGGTGTCTATTTCACTTAAATTTAACATTTAGAAAGAAAGCATCTAACCCAGGCTGTACATCTGACCTTGTGATCAAGGAAAAGAAACACACACTTCTAGAAAGTGATTGCTCACAGCTCTGACACAAATTTATGGAAGTGCCTGTATTTTCCTTGACTATGCAGGGAGCCTGAATGACCTGGCAGGCTAGACACCTAATTTTCAGATGGTCAGAGTCAGGGGAGGTGAATTTCCTGCCTCCCCAAGGGCCAGAATACGGTTTGTACTTGTTCACATTGCTTGTAAATTGTATGAATTTGCCCATTTGTCAAGTATCTGTCAGCTAAGGGCTGGCTAAATTGTTTTATACTTCCACGTATGCTTCTACATCCATATATTTTTGAAATCTTACTATAGCATAAGTGCTTTCCACTGCACAAGCACAGATTTTTGTTAATTCCTTCTATTTAAGAAAGTGTATTATAAGCAGTGTTTTTTCCCCGAGTTTGAACTGAACAAAGACCTTAAAACTGCATAAACATTTTATATGTCTTGAGTGGTTTTTAGCTTATAGTCTAACTGTATGAATTATTTTAACCTGTTTGAATTGATGATGCACAAACTGCTGGAAAGTGAAAGAGTGTTCTGGGAAAATAGTATTTCAGGCTTGTCCTGTCTCTATCCTCTTACTTAGGTATACTGTGTTTAGGTATAATGTGCTGTGCTTGACACAGCACATTGGGCTATATAGACTGTCAGTCTGGCCATGGGCTGCTGTCTATGTTGGAAACATGAAAGCTTTCAAATGCTGGTTGGACAGGATCTCTGAAAGTCATGTACTCTAGCCTCCTCTTCAAAGTGGAACTGCCACAAGCTGTGGATCAAGTCAGCTATGGTTTTGTCTAGTCGAGTCTCAAAAAGCTCCAGTGGAGAGTCCACAACCTCTCTGGGCAACCTGTTCCACTGCTGCACTATCCCTCTAGTGAAAAACATTTTCCTCATGTCCAACGTGAATCACCCAAGCCACAGGTGGTGACCATTGTTCCTTGTTACATCATCTGGCACCACCAAAAAGGGGTTAGCTCCATCACCTTTGTAATGAACTACAAGAAGTAATTGTAGGCTGCAGTTAGATACCTTCCTTTTCACCAAACTGAGTAAGACCAGATTCCTCAAGTGCACAAGTCAGGTGCACTATGTCCCAGCAGTAGGTCTCTGTTGAGCCCTCTTCAGTTTATTCCCTTTAAGTGCGAGGAGAAGGGAAGGGATTGTTCAAGAACTGGACAAAGTATGCCAAGTGCAGTCTTCAGCTGGGCCTGGCAATAGCCCTTGTTGATCCAGAACCTGACCTGCAGACTGACTTCCCAGTTTGACTGTGGTGTTGCCCTGCTGCTATGGACCTACCCAGCGATCACTGGGCTGTGTCAGACCCTGGCTGCCCTCACCAGCAGTGTCCTCACCTCATCCTGACATGCAGACTGGCTTCCTGACTTGTCCTCAGACCTGCCTCAGCAGCATGTATTTGTCTGATGATCTGGACTTCTGGTTAAACCTGGCTACCATTTCCAGGCCTGCCCTGCTCACCTTGCTTGGGTACTGCAGGGCAGGGCCTGTCTGGCAAGGCCCCTGCCCTGCTCAGCTGTATTATCACCCTTGGCTCCTGGCTCTCCTTCCCTTAGGGAGCAGCTGGCCCATGCTGCTTCTTGACAGCAGCTCAATTCCCAGTTTGTGAAAACTATGGTTTGTTTCCAACCCAGGTGCAGAACTTTGCAATTCTCCTCACTGAACTTCACAAGACATCTTCTGGTCCAATCATCAAGTTTATCAAAGTTCCCATGTATTGAAGTTCTGCTATTTGTTTTCAGTCACTGTCCCTAATTTGGTGTCACCCACAGATTTGCTGAGGGTGCGCTTTGTGTCATCATCTATGTCACTGAAGATGTTTAGCAATGTGACCCCCAGTACTGTCACCTGTGGTACCCTGGTCATTGTCAGCAACCAGCCAGACATGAAGCCATTGATCACTATCCTTTGAGGCTGGTGGCCTGGCAAATTTTCACCCCACATAACAGTTCTTTCTTCCAGCCTATACTTCCTCAGCTTCCAAATAAGAATGCTGTGGGAGGCAGCATCAAGAGCTTTACTAGTGCCAAGGTGCATTACATCCACTGATCTTCCCTTGTCCATAGATGCAGTCATTTCATCACTGAAGGTGAACGGGTTGGTCAGGTGTGGTTTGCCCTTCGTAAATCCATGTTCACTATTCCTGATGATCTTCTTGTCCTTCATATATTTGGAATCTGATTCTGAGAGGATGTGCCCCATGACCCTGGGACTGAAACCATGCGCATTGGTCTATAGCTCCCTGGATCTTTCTTCTTGCCTTTTTTTAAAGATGAGTGTAACATTAGCATTTTTCAGTTATCAGGGACCTTTCTCAGTCCCCGTGAATTTTCATACATTATAGATAGTAGTGTCACATCACCTAGCTCTTTCAGCACCCACAGGCTAATACCAGTCATCCCATGGATCTGTGTATATCCAGTTTGTCTAAGTAGTCTCTAACCAATGTTACTAGCCCCTCTCCTTCCCAAACGATGCTGGTACAAATGGAAATCTGGGAGAAAGCTTTGTTTGTGAGAACCAGGAATAAAAAGGGCATTACTTTTTTCGGCTGTTTCTGTATTGTTCATCACTAGGTTGTTTGCCCAGCCAAAAGACCCATGTTTTCTGTGACTTTCTTTTTGCTACCAGCATATTTGTAGACTCCCTTCTTGTTACCCTTAGTGTACCTCAGTAGTAATAGGTCCAGCTGGGCTTTTTTTTGTTCCAAAGTGCCTAAGCAATGCTTTTATACTCGTCTTTTTTTCTTGGTCCTTCTTTCTCACTCTACTATTTTGCCTCTTTGTGTTTTATTTCACTGAAAAGATCTTTGATCTTCTAAGCAGATTTTCCAGTACAATGGGATCGTTTGTTCCTGAGCTCTTAGCAAGTTTTCTTTAAAAATCATCTAGCTCTCTTGGGCATTCTTTCTCTTCTTGGCTCTTTCCCAGGGGATTCTTCCTAGCAATTCCCTGAATAATCTGAAATCTGAGCTTGTAAAATATGGAGTCTGGATTCTGCTGTTTCCCCTCGCAGCCTTCTGGATTGTGAACTCAAGTCATCTCATAGTCACAGCAGCAACACAAGAAGAACCTCACCCCTCAAGAATTTGTGTTAGGGAGTTGTCACCAAGTTGGTGCAGAAACTTCCTAACTTGCCTGCACAATGATATCTTACGCTCCCAGCAAGTGTTTGGCTGGCTGAAATTTCAAAAATGAACAAAAGCCTATGAGCTGGAGACTTCTGCTATCTGTTTGTGAAAGCCTTATTCACTACAGCCTTTTGGTCAGGTGGGGTAACAGACTCCACAATCACATTCCCAGTGTCACTTCCCCTCTGATCTTGACCAGAAACTCTCAGCAGGCACATCTATGGTTTCATGTTGGATCTCTGTGGAATGGAAGAGATCTTTAACATATAACACAAAAGTACACTGCTCCACAATGGAGTGCAAGCTGGGAGCCAAGGATGGCTACAAGGCAAGCAGGGTCAGTAATCTCTCTGACAAGGCCTTTGGTCCCACAGTACCCAAAGAAGAACAAAAGAGATCCCATGACTAACCAGGCTCAGCCAACACCCCAGTGATCACCAGACAAGTCCATAGTGTCAAGAGAGGTCTAAGGTCAATTCAGGAAATCAAGCCAGCCCGTCAGCAGGTCAGCATCAGCAAAATGCAAGGCTAGGCACAGGTGTACCTACCTCTAACATAGCTCAAGCAAGAACCGAGGGTGAGAGCCTGACATTAAATGCAGCTCCCAAGCCAAGAGGCAGAGGCCACAGACAAGGCCTCTTAGAGGTCTGTGCACCTCTGCCATGTTAACTGCATTCTGTTTTGTTGTACATGCTTTAAATTAGTTTACAGTTAAGGGAGAAAATCCCATCAGGTTGCAATTAGGGAAAAATCAAAGTGACTGGACATGGTAGGCCATAGAGATTGATTCAGAAGGAGTAGTCAGGGAGGAATGAGCAAATACTATGTCAAATCAATCTCTTTCAAGATGCATGTCCTGAGTCTAAGCATAAGTAAAACTTACTAAGCCACTTTTCATTACACTTGATATCTTCTGAGCCTTGCTAATAAAATAAAGCATGAATGAAAGAACTGTGTAGCTCTTAATGCTGCAAAAGTCAAGACACCATGAGAGCTTTTCAGAGCAAAAGTGTCCCCTAGCTTCCATATGTTATGAATCACGCTGCCTTTGAGTCAGCATAAACAGCATGAAGAAACAAACTTCAGATCACTGGATTTAAAATGTTTGTAAATTTAAGATCTTTCATATAAATTTCTACATATTTGGCTTACATCATACTGAATCTTGGGGATGATCGCCAGCTAGCCAAGACTCACACCCATGCCAGACGAGATCTCTGCATCAGCAAGCAGGCCTGGGCCTGGGGCACCAGCTCCCGAGATCTCGTGATTATCTCAGAATCCTGGCTTTCCTTTCAAAAATAGAAAGTAAGCTTTCATGCTCATGGCTACAAAGAAAAGCTTGAAAATTTAAATGTTATCAGTACAGTCGTGCATATCTGATGAATGTTTTCTCTGGGAATTACTCCAAACTTCTTAGAATTAAATACAAGGAACACGGCTCATGAGGGCAACCCTGCCAACACCAGCAGAGAACTCTATGTGTGGCTGGAAGAGAGCAGCAAATCAGATTATCAGTGAGGCAGGAAGAGGTCATTCTTAGCTACTAAGTTAACTATTAAGGGGATTTTTGTCACTCTTGCTGCTCCTCTCAAGAGGACGGATGATAGCTTCTGCTTGTACTTAGGGGTGCTGAGCCTCAACTGTTGTTCTTTAGGGAAGGTCCCTGTTTGAGTTGTGGGTGGGTTCACATGAGCTGTAGCTGGTAGAGGCCTTCTGTTAGCAACCTTAATCTGGAAGGTGTTAATGAAGCCCTGTGAAATATGTTTTTAGTGTTCCCAACATAATAGCCTCAAGGTTCCACAAAGATAATAATACATATTTTTCAACTCTTGTGGTCATCTTCAGAATCATTTACCCAGGAAAAGTCTGTCCTGCACACTTGAGTTAGCAAGGATGTGAGCAGGTAAATGCAACACAGCACTGAGTAGGTCCAGAAGGCATACAGCCATATTCCTCTGGTGTACACACGTGGCTTTATGGTTTCTGCCTCTTCAGTGCACTCTCTAACAAGCTGTATTTTCTAATATTTTTTTTCAGTAAACAGATGAGATATCCCTGTGTTATGTATCTGTGTATGTGCATATGCTGTCATAAAAAGCTTTGGTAAAGGAAATGTTCTATAAATATATGAAGTAGAGTTCATAAATTATAAAATACTCCTCTCAGGTTTTCTTAGAAAGTCATATTCCACTTTGTTTGTCCTGCAAATGTAGGTGGTTTATTATTGCTAAAGGCTTTCATCATATGTAAAGGCTCAATTGCATTAGCCCGCCACACATACAAGGAAAGAACAGTTCCTGCCACAGGAAGACAGTTACCTCTGGGAATAATAATTAACCTCTGAATATCAGTTTTCAGGTTATGTAATGAGGTGTTCAAAAGTGCCTGGATGTCTTCACAAATGTGACTTACTAGGTTTGTGACTTGTTTATGTATTTTTAGCAGTGCTGAGGGGTTAAGGCCATTCTTTCACTAGTGTAAGTTAATTAATTCCACTGATACAAAACTAAGTAATGGCCAGACACTGCATCTAAGTGAATGTCAGGTTCTTTGACTTCACCAATAGTGGTAAACACTATGTGGTAAATATCCCAGTGCTTACTGCACAATTACTTTCCTTTTTAAGGTACTTTATACACAAGTAGTAGCTGTTTCTAGACTTTGCTCATCTTCCCTTTCATGAGTATTTTAAATGGAAGAACTACGTAGCAAACACCCAGAGCTGTTAAAACACCTGTGCTCCTGATGACCTGATTGTCCTGCTTTGATCTAATGAACAGCATTCAAAAGTTCATGTTGGTATATTTATTACAGATCACATCTAACTTGCTCCGAGTAAAACAAACAATTTTGATGAGGCAATGTATAGGACTTAGCTGCAAAATGTTAAGAAGTATTTAAGATTCTAACTTCTCTACTGCATGTAGTACATGTGTTCTCAAAGAATTCATTAAAGTGTACATATCAGGTATTCCTAAGTATAGCAGGTATTTGGAAAAAAGGAACATTTTATTTTCATAGTTTGAAACAATATGGTAAGAAGTCAGAATGATGCCTAGAAAAAAAAAGGCAAAAGAAAAGAAAACAAACTAACTAGTTTTTACTTAGCTTATTTCTGAGTAATTATATTCCTAACTGACACAAATTTTTCCCATTTAGGGCCAAACTATTGTGCTCTTCAGGACCATGGCTGTGAACAGGAATGTGTTAATACAGATGATTCCTATTTTTGTCAATGCCAAGAAGGGTTTAGACTTAATCCAGATAAGAAAACATGCAAAAGTGAGTAATCCCTTGGACATAATAAAGTTCATCTGCTTTTTTTTCTTAAACCTGCTGTGAATGGTTCCCATTCTGAAAGAATGAAAGTTTTCTCTATCATTAAGGTTGAAACAAATGTTTCTTTATAAACTTGAATTTTGACTGAGCCAGTCATGCTGGAAAAATATACTGTTTGCTGTTTTGTACAGTATATTGTATATTAGATGTTTTCTGTAAAGATTTATGGAAACCTCAGGAGTAATACAGGAACCAGAGTGGCTCAAAAACAATAAGTTCATTACTTGTTTGAAACTTTCTGACCTTGTCTAGTAGTGACACAAACAACTTTTAAAAAAAATTAAATCACCTTGCTTTGCCCAGTTGGTTTAGCAAAGGACAGATGTATTTCATTAGCTTGGGAAAGTATTGCTATTAAAATCAACTTAAAGTCATACATGAAACCCCACAGTTTCCTAAAAAAAAGTAAAAACAGACTCAGCAATGTCGGGGTTCTAAACCAATCACACATGCTATTTACTTTAAAAAGACTTTTGTGTTACAGCTCTTCTTGAGTGGGGGCCTAGAATCACAGCAGATTTTCAATGTGATGTTGTTAAAGTTTAAGGAGAATATATTCAGCAAAAGGAACTAGCCTGATCTGGTGACTCAGTTCTTGGGGGGCAGAATTGCACTGCTGATATTTTATGAATAAGAAGCTTGCCTGGAGCAACATAATTATGCTTCTAGACACTCATAAAATTTATCTGGTTTTGGAACTGTGTTTTCCTTCCATCTTAAAGATACATTCTCATGAAGCATCTTTGTCTATACAGTGCTGTTTTTACAGCAATCCATGCTGTACTGGTTTTTATTATCTAGATGGTATCTTAATACATTCAGGTTTTTATAGATTGGATGTGCCTTGGTGAGTATAGGAGCAAAAGAACAGCATCGTGTAGAATATTTATTGCCAAGAATAATTGTGAATTAGAGGCAAATTGTAATTCACATTTGGGGTATTTTCCCTTAACTTTAGGGGGCTTTGGATTTGGCTGTAAACCTGGTAACATTTCCAGGATCAAGCTCCTATTCCAAACCTTGTTATAACAAGGCTCATGTTAGAAAAGCTTGTAAAATAAAGCAGAACATTTGCATATATGCCCTCATTATAAATCAGGGAGAATGTATCACTGGGTAACTAGCACTAGGCATTCCTCCTTCACCACGATGCATGATTTCTGATCACTACAGGAGCAGGTCTGTGGGAGTCAAAGTAAAGTCTGGCATAGCCAAGTATTTGCAATCCACTCTCACGTCCTCAGCTCACTATCAGCTTTAACAGGTGTCCAAAGCACAGAATCCAGTATCATTTAAGAAAAATGAGTTTTTAAAGCCTGTTTTACTTCAGAAACCCTCATGGCCAGCTTGAATTCTTCACTGTTTTTTTCTCTCCACAAAAGTAAACTTCTGTGCTTTAGGTCAGCATGACTGTGAACATGAATGTGTTAACATGGAAGAGTCATTTGTGTGCAAATGTCATCATGGATACGCCCAATGACATGATGGCAATACGTGCAGAAATGAGCGTGTCTCATGAACTGCAGTGACTAGTTACTGCAGTGGGGCGAGGTGTGAACAGAAAGAGAAAATGCTCCTGGGTCCCTTTTGAGATCTTTCTGAGCTATGCAAACCTGTGTTACTGTAAAGTCTGCCATGAGCCAGTCCTAGTGAATTAATGCTATAGTGAGATCCCTGATCTAATAGAGAACTAGAGCATCATCTTCTTCAAACCCAGTAACTGGGGAATTGTCTAACACAAAGCCAGTGCTTGCTGTTGAACATCTGTATCATTGCTATGGGCTATGTAAACTGCAGCACACCTGATACTGATGTATGCCGATATGTGAAGATATGTAGAGACTTCCCCCTTCTACATGTTTACACTTTCAGTGATCTGTTTGATAAAATGTCCTCTTTTTATAAGAATGTTACTAAACAAAGGATCAATGTTGCACCAGAAAAAACCAACATTGCCCACTTGATGTCACCCAGTTTTTAGAAGATACTTTTATTGCAGAGAACCATTTTGCACATCATCAAAAATACTGGCAGCATTTTCCCCTGATGTACTTATGACATTTTTCCAAAGGAACTCTCAATCACTGAAATTAAAAAAAAGTTAATAGGCCAGGGAGTAATTATTTTTAAATAAACTGTTTGTGATAAAGCCATATTTAAGGAAACTTGGATGTGTTGCAAAATCTCAGAACTTTTTAACAATTATGGTTTTAGGCTATCGCAAGTTGAATATTTAAAAATTAATATATCCCAAAACACTCATTGTTTTTAAAAATACTGAGCCTTTCCCTGTCCCTTCTCCTCCTTACATTTTTTTTTACACATGTAGTAAAGCACACGTGATGACCAAATTTACAGTTATACTAATTTCTAAAGACTGGTAATTAGCAGCTTTGTGATTACTCCACTCTTTGAAAGAGTGTGTTAAAAGATTCTGCATGAGAACCCAAAGTATTTAAATGTTAAAATTCACATTAGTGTGGGTGTTTGTATTGTAAAAGATGGTGCCAAACAGATGCAATTTTTCATAGAGAATATGGGGGGATAGTTATTTTCTTTTTTTTCCCCACATTTTTGTGTGCTCTGAGAAGTTACACAAGCCTCTTCACGATGACGTAAACTCTTGGAAAAAGGAGAATGTTCCAGCTGGAACTTACTTTAGCTAGTAAAAACTGACACCTCAGCTTCACTTTTTCAAGCCAACGTTATCTCTGTCTACGTATAATGGTAAATCTGGACCAATTACTGCAAACTCGTTGCTTAGTTAAATAAACTAATAAACAGCAATATTTAGAACTAAGTAATTTTACATTAAGTACAGAATTTTTTTTACATAAACAAACAGCTACAGACATGCCTGTTCACATCTGTAAATGATTTGCAAATAGCGACATATGAAACTGTTTGTGTCTGAGAGAACTCCACTGCTTTTGATCAAGTTAAGCTAAAGTAATTTGGGCCTATATAACTAAAAATAGCCATTAACAAGTCAAACAAATATTATGAGGAAGTTCAGTATAAAGCTTTTTTCCTAAAATGTACTTTTTCTGTATTTACAGAGTCAGCAGATTACATAGTACATCTGCAAGGGCACGTATCTCACCCTACTGCTTTGCTGTTCATTCTATGAGACAGTATAATTTTTAAACCCAATTCACACCTCTCTCTACCTTCCCCCACCCTTCATCTTTCACACAACCAGTTGCATACAAGACTAAAAAAATATTCCACTTTATCTTACTTGGAATAGGAATAGCAAAATCAAAGAAAAGGAACATATTAAGACACTCTCACACTCATAATTTGTATCTGTCCCCCACTAGGCTTTAACTGCTTGAATCTGTTGGCAGGTTAAAGTTCTAAATTGGTGATTTCTCATCCTGTTGAAAAAGAATTTACTGTTTATGAAATAATATGAAAGCCATAATTTCTGTTTCAAGAGTTACTACTATTCATACTTTCTCTCTGAGAAAGTTTTATGATGAACAAAAGAGGGAGTTTTGCTTTTTAAAGAAAGAAAGCATGATTCTGCAGGTAAGACTAGGTAGGACTTCAAGGTTCTCCCTTCACTCCGCACTAGTTTCCCTTTGTGATTTTTGGCAAGGGAAATCTGCACTTCATCAAGTTTGTTATCTGCCAAGTGGGGTTGTTGTATTCATTTTACTTAGGTGTTGTTAATTAGTTCAAGTTACTCAAATAGGTGGGGATACTGCATAAATAAAAAGTTGTGCTGATCTTTTTCCCTTACTCTGCAAAGGCATCGTGTACTAACTACAGTGTCATAGTGTATGTATCTAAGGCTCCAATGTGATTTCTTCAATTATTAACACACATCAATAGGAGTGGACCACTGTGCTGAAAGCAATCATGGCTGTGAGCAACTGTGCCTAAATACTGATGGCTCCTATGTCTGTCAGTGCTCTGAAGGATTTGTCATCAATGAAGATCTAAAAACCTGCACACGTAAGTCTTGTGGGAACCTCCTTGATGTCAGTTTACCCGGGAAAGGTTTCTGTTTTCATACAAGGAAGAGGACACACCTTCGATTTATTCTTACAGTCTGCATTTCAATAATACTTTAATAATTATTTGAAAGCAGAAACAGACAGAAAAAGGACTTAGGAAAGGATACTTGTCAAAATAACTGTAAATCGTCACATATTCAAAAAAGTTTTGGAAGATCTGTTCATCCCCAGGTGTTAGAGACAGTTTTTCATTCATATGACAAATGTGTCTGACTGACAGGTCATTCTTGACAGTAATGTCCCCCAGGCAAACTACATTAGCTTACCTGGGGCAGGAGGAAAAGTGAGAGTCCCACACTGAGCCTTACATTTTGCATGGGAACCCTTAATAAATGAACAAAAGTTGTCATGACAGCTCTTTGTAAATCCAATGATCATTGAGAATCATTGCAGTTTCACAAATAGCCAAATTGCCTCCTTCACTGGAAAAAGAGTATATAGAAAGGACCAGGAAAAGAGGAATGTGAATGCATTTTACCTGGTGACTTTTCCTGGACCTCTTTGATGAGAGGGTTTTGGCTGCTTTTTCTACAGATTTTGGAGGTACGTTATTTTTCAAGTTTGTTCAGTGTCAGAGTAGCTCCAGAGTTTGCTCCATTTCTTGCACTTAGGCAACACAGTTTTAACAGAAGTCAAAATGCAAGTGCTCAGTCACAAAAATGATCTAGGGAGAAGTGAGGCAAATCAGTAAAGGCAATTTGTCTTCGTCTTTAATCTTTTCTTTGCCTGCATGCTAACCTTTTTTAGCCCTATCCAATATCTTGACAGACTTTGTTTCTGTCTGCCCCTTTCTAGAGAGCTGCAGCAAGCAGAACTAGTATACATGTAACAGTGATAGGGTCTGCTAGAAACAATTTATCTAGACATTTATCTAAAAGAACCACTGCAAATTTAGAAACAGCCTAACTGTGGAGTTTATCAACTTGCATATGGAAAAATCCCTTTTCCTTTGTAGTAAAAAGAGGTCATCTTTTCACTCTTTGAGTTATTTTCCTCCAGGCCATACTTGGAGACCTATCAGCAGCATTAAAATAGTGCTGCAGCTTCTGGAATCCCTCCGTGCAATGAAACTGAGCCCTTTTGAATAGCTCCTCTTCTTGCCAGCATACCCCTCTCCTCATATATATTTAGGAAAGAGATTTGTCCTATTCCTGAGCTCCAGATGAGCTGTTGAAAACTCGTGGATGTTTTCAGGCTATCATGAAAAGAGTTCTGGCACTTTGGGATTTCCTGAATGAGCAGTTGAATGGAAGGGATTAACATTTAACATATACCCCTCCTAATGGGAAAACATCTGGGAATTACAATTCTGGTGTCATATACACAGGCACAAGTATCTTTAAGGCAGCTGTGGGAACACCTGAATGGTAAACAGGTTTCTACTTTAACAACCAGTTACAAAAAAATGAGTGACACTGTCTGTGTAGCCAATAGATAGTAGCAAGTGTTGCCTGTGGGATCCCAGGGGTCCTATGTCTTTGTATTACAGAGAAGAAACACGAAATTTAAGATGAAAAATGGACCATATTTGACAGTACTTGTCATTTGCAATTCTTTGCAAAAGCTTGAATAGTCTAAGCCAAAGCCCAGTGAGGTCCCTGAGAGGTATTCTGCTTGCTGCCACAGCAGCTGTCAGGTGCACAAGGGAGTTCTGGGGACTGCCACCTTCACATTGGGCCATTTAGAGACTGTATTTAAAGAAGAATGTTCACAAGGTAGCTTTTATGTCTTTGCCACTGTCTTATATAAAATCACTGCTAAGGTGTTTTGTTTTGTATTTTTAAATTCAATTTGTAAGTATTGAGACGTGGACTGGACTCTGCTGAGCTATTTTAAGCATAGGAAAGTATGACTTCTCAACTCTACTTAAAGCAACCAATGGAAAGTACACCACAAGGCCCTCTTACATTTTATTGAAGCCATGTGTATATTATCGAATAAGGAACTGGATTATTGTTTAAGCAGTTCAATGTATTTATATTTACTTGCTTATATGCCATGCAAATATTAGAGATGAAAAATAATTGATTCATTATTTGTTAATTTTTTTAAATAACTTCAATTGCTCCTGCAGGAGTTGACTATTGTGCTCTGAGTGATCATGGCTGTGAACATTTGTGTGTAAATGGCGACAGATCTTATACTTGTCAGTGTTTTGAAGGATACAGGCTTCGTAATGATGGGAAAACATGTAAACGTAAGTCATTATTCAGCACCTCAGAGTTATATTTTTATTACAGCCATAGAAGAAATCTGTAAGGTAGGATTTGATTGCCTAAACATTGCTGTTCAATGTCATTTTAAATGCTCAAGGATTCGAAAAGTTCATAGTTTCCCCTTTGGTGTCATATTTGCCAGCAGTATGTCAATATCTTGGATATGCTAAGGCATCTAAAGTGGTACTGGATGCATACTTTTAGGCACCTGAATCACACCCTAAATATCTGTGCCATTTAAAAAGTAGCCCTGAAATTGGACTGTTGTGGATTCAAAACTATTTTATTCTGACTTACATCCTTATATGGGACAACTGTAATTTTCTTCTCAAATCAAGGCAAAAGTATATAATGTTTCTAAAGCCTGATGCAGCATGAAGCTTGCAATATTATTAATGGAAAGTTCATTTTGTGCAGCATGGGATAAGGATGATTGAAAAAGAGATAATTGCATTACACATTTGACTACATTATGCAGTTACGATGAGTGGCAGATAGCAAGAAAAAATTAATTGCAGATTTTTCTCCATTTTTATAGCTTAGATCATTAAGTGATCAAAGAAGAATCATGGATAAGTCTCTGAAAAACACATAGGCATTAAGTATTTTGTAACTGTAATCCCAATAATACCCATGGATCTCATCAACATCTGCTATTAAAAAACATTTACAGAAAAAAAAAATTAAGGTCATACAGATATTACCATGACAAATGAAAAGCTACTTATTCTCAGTTTGTGTATCACAACAACACTCTACTTTGTCATTCCACACAAACAGAGACAAATTCTGCTTGACTCAAAAAGTACTGTCACTCTAAAAGCAAATGAAATGTTTTGTCCATGCAGAAGTCCAGAGGGATCTAGATAGATTGGAGCACTGGGCAATGATTAATGGAATGAAAGTCAAAATGCTGAATTCTGCACCTAGGACGGAGTAACACCAGGCACAAGTATAAATTGGGAGTGGCTGGAGAGCAGCCCTGCAGAGAGGGATCTGGGGGTGCTGGTCGACAGCAGGTTCAGTATGAGTCAGCAGTGTGCTCTGGCAGCCAAGAGGGCAAACCGCACCCTGGGGTGCATCAAACACAGCATAACCAGCCCATCAAAAGAGGTGATTATCCCACTGGACACAGCGTTGGTGCGGCCTCACCTCAAGTAGTGTGTGCACTTCTGGGCCCCACAATTCAGGAAGGATGTGAAGGTCCTTGAATGTGTCCAGAGGAGGGCAACAAAGCTGTGAAAGGGCTGGAAGGAATGTCCTATGAGGTGCAGCTAAGGACTCTGGGTTTGTCTAGTTTGGAGAAAAGGAGGCTGAGGGGTGACCTCATTGCTCTCCACAGCTTCCCAAGGAGGGGATGTGGTGAGGGAGGTGCTGATCTCTTCTCCCTGGTACCCACTGATAGGACATGTGGGAATGGGTCAAAGCTGCGCCAGGGGAGGTTCAGACTTGACATTAGGAAGCATTTCCTTACCAGGAGGGTGGTCAAACACTGGAACAGGCTTCCTAGAGAAGTGGTCAATGCCCCAAGCCTGTCAGTGTTTAGGAGGCAATTGGACAATGCCCTTAACAACATGCTTGAACTTTTGGTCAGCCCTGAATTGGTCAGGTAGTTGGACTAGATGATCGTTGTAGGTCCCTTCCAACTGAAATAGTCTAGTCTAGTCTATTCTAAGTCCTTGCAGGAAAATAAAGGGTGTGGGGAAGAAAGTGAAAGCAAGATTTTAGTTTATCTAACATTAATTAATAGATTGTATTTTATTTTATTTTGAAATATGAATTGTATCTAAATTCTGTATCAGAAAACACCATTGAACATCTGCTTGCCCGATTATAGCTGACAATTTTCCAGAACTTCACAGCAGGAGCATGTGATTTGTCTTTGTCACTACCCTTAAATACTACATACACCAAACTTTTGTAATCCTACTTTACAGAAAAATTACAAACAACTTCTGAAGTTAAGCACAGGGGAAAAAAAAGCATAACTGTTTCAGGTTTGAGCAGGTTCATTAGTGAAGATAAAATATGATGATAGAAAGATCTGTTTCTCACCAGAAAGTTTACTTGAAATGTGGATGTGGGATTTAGGTGCCTTTGGAAATCTCTGTGGGTCACTAATCTGCATGCTAGGTACACGTGAAATGCTACAAACTCTAGAACTGGAACAGTGGCCTTTTCCTTAATAGTAAGGTTGTAAAATTAGCAGGACAAAGATGTACCTTTTCATTACAATAAAAAAATACAGCAGGTGCTATAAATGATTTGCAGGATTGAGTCCAGTACACTAGCAAGGACAAGAACATTGAGTAGCTGGGAGTTCTAAGACTTTGAACATTTTGCCTTTAACTAACACAATTTTTTATCTATTAAACTATTCCCAGGTAAAAATGTCTGCAAGTCAGTCAACCATGGCTGTGAGCATATTTGTGTTAGCACAGACAATTCCTACATCTGCAAGTGTCGTGAGGGATTCTCACTGAGAGAAGATGGCAAGACCTGCAGAAGTGAGTGATCGGTATCTATTGAACATTTTTGCACGTGCACCAGGCAAGCAAGAAAGGGTTTTTTCACTTTTTACTGGAAAAAAATCTTCCTTTTGATACATTTTTTTAACATGTTTTCATTCAAAACCTGTATTTATACCAATCATTCCTAGGACGGGACATCTGCAAATCAGTCAGCCATGGCTGTGAGCATATTTGTGTTAGCGAAGATGACTCGTATGTTTGCAAGTGTCATGAGGGTTTTCTTCTGAGAGAAGATGGGAAAACATGCAGAAGTAAGTACTCTGATAATTACTCATAGGCTTTTATCTACAGTATGTAGATTTGTGGAAGTGTTCTAACAAATACAACAACAGTTTACTATTATAATATAGGAGTAGTATTGTTATATCTGCCAGAAGCTTGTAAGAGACTCTGTGGACAAAAATGGTGTATTTTAATAGCCAAACCGATATGACTGGAGACAAAGACGACTCACAATTTTTCAGGTACCAAGAGTAAGAAGTGTTTGCTGCCTAAATTTTTGCCCATTTCTTCCAGTGATATCAGTAGACCTAGTAAAAGCTATTACTTCTCCCTGCTTGATACATTCACTGTAGATGTGCTTTAACCAAATATCATCAACTGTTCTCAGATAAAGACATTTGCAGTTCAGTTGACCATGGCTGTGAACATGTTTGTGTTAATGCTGATGAGTCATACATCTGCCAGTGTTACGAGGGATTTGCGCTAAGGGAAGATGGAAAAACCTGTAGAAGTAAGTATCCTTATCTTTAATTGAAGATATCCTTTATAATCTGTGCATTCATAGACATGTTTTAAATGCTGGCAACCTTGTCTTTTTTCCAGATAAAGATGTTTGCAATTCTGTTGACCATGGCTGTCAGCATGTTTGCGTGAATACTGATAGTTCATACATGTGCCAGTGCTATGAGGGTTTTGTGTTGAGGGAAGATAAGAAAACATGTAAAAGTAAGTTATTTTATGTTACTGTATTTTTTGCACTCAGAGGCCTACTGAAGAAACATATTGTGTTAGAGGTAGGTCTTCTTATAGGGGATTTTGCCTGACAAAAAGGAGGATAAATTCTTTATTTCTAGGAGCTTATTACTTTTAGTCTTTAAAGTTTTGGAAATGTTCTCATTCATCAAACTGTAGTAAATAAAATCTAAATTATTCCTAGATAAGGACGTCTGCAAATCAGTCAGTCATGGCTGTGAACATCTTTGTGTTAATAATGATGATTCATACACTTGCCAATGCCATGATGGATTTGTACTAAGGCAGGATGGGAAAACATGCCGAAGTAAGTAGCTTATGAATAAAAGAAGAAGTTTCATTTTCCTTTTATTAGGAGGTTATTCACCGATTCATAGTGGTCAGAACAGAATATTGTTCTCTATAGGTCATAAGACTTCTATAAATAAATTATTGTTTGAAGTAAAGATACATTTCAGAAAATCAGCCCATTTTAAGGTTTGAATGTAGCTTTTAAAATGTGAACTTCATTTCTATATTGAGTACGTTGAGTTTTAATCTTGAGCATAGGATGCTGCTGCATTTTACTTTGATGGGCTGAAGTTCTAATTGCCACTGTGTCATTCTGTGTATATTCATGCACATCATGACTTAACCTGTTCTTTAACTTAACCTCTTAGCATGTTCTTTTGTAAATGATAAGCAGATGAAAGTCCTTCAGGCTCTTTATATATTTTCTAATCTTTTCATAAGTCTCTTCTTGCTCCTCCAAAAACCTCTGCTATTTATCACCATCCTTGTGGGGTCACCACAGTGGTACGAAGTCTTCTAATAGGACACAAAGCAAGGTCCAGGGTAAAGGAACAGTAACTTACCTAATTCTTATTTGAATCTACCTATCCTTTTTTATCTTTTTTTTTAAATCTGTCTTTTTTTTATGACCAAAGATACCATTAGTCTGTGACCAAAATATTCTGTTAGCACTTGTGTTCTGTTGGTTATCTACCATGATTATAAGCTGTTTAAGACTCTCAGTCACATAGGTGTCCTACATCCTGTAAGTACAGCCTTCATTCTTTGTTTCTACATGTATAAGCTTAGTTCTGGCTATTTTAAAATACATATGAATTGCTCTTAACCAGCTTGCAAAAAGATCGTGTCTCCTTATATCAGCAGCTGCTCTATTTTTATTTGCCATTCTCTCAAAACTGGAGTAACCTACAAACTTTGTCAGTGATTATTTTGTATTTTCTTTTGGTTTGTTCATAAAAATGTGAAGTAGTAGAGGAGCAGGGCAAATTCTCAGAAACAAAGCCACTTGATGTTCCCTCATTTACAATTTATTCTGAAGACCTCTCTAGCCAGTGTTAATCCATATAATGTTGATACTGTAGTCTATCTATCTCCTTAATCAAAATAAATACCAAGACTGCTGCCTTACTGAATGTTCCATTGTATGAACAGCATAAGCTTTATGAACGATCCTCCATTAAAAAAGGTATTTATTTAGTTTTCCAGGATCTATTTTTCCATAACACCAAGTTGATTGATATTAATCCTCTTTCTTTGATTTTACTCTGAATCAAGTTCCACATTATCTATTCCATTATTTTAATGCAGATCAATGTCAAGCTGACAGGCTTACAATGAACTACTCATCCTTTTCAAACACTGGAACAATAGTATTTTTTCAGTGTGTGTGCATATACTGGGGATGGAGACTGCTCAGTGTTTTAGGGCTTCCTCAGAGTTCTAGGAGTTACTGAAAAGTAACAAGAAGTATCCAAGGTGTTCTTCAGCCAGCTCTTTTACAACTCTTCACTGCAAATTATCTGGAGTTACTGATTTAAAAATGTGTGTGTTTAGTAGGTGCTGTGTGACCTGCTTCTCAGCTGATGAAACTCTTCACTCCAACAATATCATCAGTAGACTATTTCATAAGTTCAGATCTGAATACACTAAATATTTTTAACATTTCTGCATTAAGATTGGCAATTTAGCATTTCTATTAATTAACAATACATTCTTAGAATGCTTTTTGTCCCTAATAGTCTTTAAATAACTTACTTATACTATCCTTTATTTTGTTGGCTATGCACCTCCTTGTCCTTTATCGTATTATTTCAGTGTTTTCAAATTCCTAATATTTTCATGTTCAGTAAATACTGTGAATATTCCTTTCTTTCAATTATTATTCAAATCTTATACCTGTTTTCAATCTCAATTTCTAAATGAGGTTGCTTTTTTTAACTACTCTGACATTCTTTTTAGATTATTTTAGGGAGTTATCTAGTAAAATAACCTTAAATAGTGCAATCATTGACTTTTTTTTTTATTATTATTATTTCCCCCTGTCCCAAAATATTCTGGTTCATATTTGCTTTCGGCTATGTAAAAGTCATCCTTTTGAAGTAATAGCCATGTCTGCTGCTGGTTTGTATTTGATTCTGTTTAAATTTGATTCTGACAAATGTGTCTGAGTTGCACACAACTGTGTATAAGCAGATGCTAATTTTTACTTACATGGTAATTTCTTCTTTATCTGCTATAATGGGATCTAGTTTAGATTGTCATGCCTTAAACGTAATGCTTGTTGAGTTAGCATATTGTCCTCTGTAGTGATTTTTGGAATTTTTGTATTGGCAGCATGAGACCTCCATGTAATTTGGCTCAGACTGAAGTTCTTGTAAAAATACAAGTTTTTTCTTCCCTACACATTAAACCTAAGTATTTTGCTGAAGAGTTAATCTGTACTTGACTGTCAGTACTGTTCTACATTCTATGTAAAGGTAGTTCTCCATTAGCAATTGAGAATATTTTCTTTTGTGTTGCAGTGAAAAAGAAAGGGAATGCTGATAGATGGCTCCACTTCCTTCTGTACTTTCTCCCCATCTGTCCTTCTTGAAGAGGTTTTAACCAACTGGTTTTAACACTGCAGTCATACAAATCCTTCCATCAATTTTCAGCAATACCAGTTAGATTTTATTTATCCTCTTAAATGAGTAGTTCCTACTCTTCTGGGGTTTATGCAGACTCTTGGCATTGATGTAAGGATGTTAAAGAATTATTTTGCTTCATGTCCTGTAGCGTTTTGCTTAATTTTGGTTTTACCAGCATGAATTTGTGCTAAATGACTGTACTAAATTATTCCCTCCTTTCACTCTTACTGCTTTTAATGTAAAGTCCTCCTCCTTAATCTAGTCAGATTAATCCTAAAATTATTTATTGTCAGTGGGAGGCCATCCAAACCATGCAATTCTTTCTGCTCAGATGGTGCAGAGTTTACGCTGCATGTAAGCTAACCTGTCTATCATTTAACTAGCCAGAGATTTGCTTTCAATTTGCAGACTTCCAGCTTTCTTTGCTCATGGAATTACCCCCCCAGTCTTTGTATTTATAAAAAAAAGTTAAATTAGCAAACCACATTAAATATTATCTCACTATTCCCAGGCAAGGATATTTGCAAATCAGTCAACCATGGCTGTGAACATGCTTGTGTTAATGCTGGTGAATCATTTGTTTGTAAGTGTCAGGAGGGATTCCTTCTAAGAGAAGATGGAAAAACATGTAAAAGTAAGTAGTCTGATATTTATCAGCATACTTTCTGTCTGCAGCTCATTCATGCTTGTGTAGAAATGCATTAACTATCAAGAGCTGTTATATGTTTTCAGATAAAGATCTTTGCAAATCAGTCAACCATGGCTGTGAACATGTTTGTGTTAATACTGATGACTCGTATATCTGCAAATGCCATGATGGGTTTTTACTGAGAGAAGATAGGAAAACCTGCAGAAGTAAGTAGCATGAGGACTTAATTTGATGAATTACACATATAATCGAGGCCTCTGCTGATGTATGTTGACTACCGCCTATTCTGTTTGCAGACAAGGACATTTGCAATTCAGTCAACCATGGCTGTGAACAACTTTGTGTGAATACTGAAGATTCCTACATCTGCAAGTGTCGTGAAAAATTCATACTGAAGGAAGATGGAAAGACATGTAGATGTGAGTAGCCTGAGCTATAAAAGTATGTTTTTATTTGAGGCTTTTAAGTGTTGTGGCTGTGAGCATTTGCACATGTGTATGTTTGCGATTTCCAACTATCTGAGCTGGTTAATAAAAGATATTATCTCTTCCTAACGAACCTCACCTCACAAACTCCATCCACTCTTGTCAGATAAAGATGTTTGCAACTCAGTTGACCATGGCTGTGAACATATTTGTGTTAATACTGAGGATTCCTATATCTGCAAGTGTCATGAGGACTTCATACTGAGGGAAGATGGGAAAACTTGTAGGAGTAAGTTGTTTAGTCTTTGTTTTGTACTTCCTGATGTATTAACGAAACACATCATGCAACAGTAATGTGTTATTTGTGTCTTTAATATAGAACCAACTTCATGAAGTGAGCTCCTTCATGGAAGATTATTGCATAATTTTTACATTTTGTGAAAGTTATTTACCTAGCTAACTGTGCTAAATATAATTTTCATTATTCCAAGGTAAAAATATCTGCAAAACAGTCAACCATGGTTGTGAACATGTCTGTGTTCCAACTGGCGATTCATACACGTGTCAGTGTCACAAGGGATTTATATTGAGGAGAGACAGGAAAACATGCAGGAGTGAGTAGCTGAAACTTTTATGGGGAATGTTTTTTCAGTTGTAAAAGAAATAACAGACTTAATTACACTCAGAGCTTGTTTGTGCCAGTTTTGCATTTAACAAATCATCTAATAAGGAAATTCTCTTAACAATTCTCAGATAAAGACCTGTGTAAATCCATTGACCATGGCTGTGAACATGTGTGTATTAATAATAACAATTCATACAGCTGTCAGTGCCATGAGGGTTTTGTCCTGCGACAAGATGGGAAAACATGTCAAAGTAAGTAACTCAGTATGTCTGTCGGCCACTCTTCTCTGGCATTGCTACATAAAAGAACAAAGACGTTATACTCCTTTGTCATACATTCTTTAAATATCATGTTTGGAGTCTTCTAATTTATAAATATGTTAAATAGAATACATATAAATATTTCATTTTTTCCTAGATAAAGATGTCTGCAAATCAATTGCCCATGGTTGTGAACATATTTGTGTTAATAATGACGATTCATACATCTGCAAATGCCAGGAAGGATATGTACTAAAAGAGGATCAGAAAACATGCAGAAGTAAGTATATTTTATTTAGAAAGCATTTGTTTGCTTGATTTCTAAAATTACTTGACCTCACTTCAAACGCCTCACTTCAAAAAATGCCTCACTTCAAAAATGATATGATATTTGAAAGCCCAAAGCATATGTGAGTGTGATGCAAAATGTCTTGAACAATTAACTTGATGCTCTCATAAGCAAAAAACTAACAAATTGGAACAGTTTTTTTGGTGTTGCACCAAGTACAACAATAATTCTTTCCAAACATCAGGAAAAAAGCCAAAGTGAAATCTGATTATCAAGGAATGTGCACTTTAATCAGATTCATATATTGTGAAGCTTTTATATTTATATACTCCATTTTAATATATGATTAATTCTATTTGCTTTTCTTCCAACATGACATGCTTAGAGTATGACATGCATTTATCTCATCACCCCTTAATACTTGGAAGAGAAATTCTTCTACTGGAACTCAGTAAAAACATTTATTCTGAAAAAATGGATGCCTTAGTTGGGGAGACTATTACCAAAAGAATGGTAACATGTTCATGGCTGATCTCAATCCTAACTAAAACCATTCACCATGAACTGCTGCCCTATCTTAACTTACGCAATGATATTGAGGTGGTTCTGATATTTGTATTCATTGCATTTCCATTGCCTTAGTATGTGTGACACATCTTTTCCTCAGATGACTGCAGAAAGGAATTCTTGGACAGCAGTTTTAAAATTGAGCTACAGTGTAAGAAGAAAAGCCCAAGCTTTAAAGCTGAAAAGTCCTTATTCCTACACTGACTTGGTAACAGTAATTTCTGCAGTCAAAGTAATTTCTGCTGCACAGTTCTCTCTTGTATAGCGCTTACAGCGTTCTTACTATACAAACATCAGAGATGACTGGAGGTCAAAGTTCATTTGCTCCAGACTAAGATCCAAATCTTAGATTCCTTAGTATGGCAAATTCTCCCTGGAAGTTATATTGATCAAATAGGAGCTGAGAATCTCTGCAGCCAGCCCCTTGCACAAAGTGCACTAGTCTATGCCTGCTGGAGGCAATTGCTTTCCAGAATAAAAAAACACCTGGCAGAACCAGTCTGCAGCTTCAAAGATATTCTCCAGTCCCTAAATTCCTTAACCTTGTCATGGATGCACAGTGCCTACAAACTGCTTTGATTTTTGTGTGTGCACTTGCCAAAAAGTATGAGAACTCCAAATTTGTCAGTCTTCTGACAAACTCCCAGCTTTAATGGGTAAACAAGAAAAGGTTAATTTCAGCAATACATAAGCCTTCTAATTACAAGACTGTTAGAGAGTTACAAGCAAAAAGACTTATATAAACAATTCTGATCCATGTTTAGCAGCTAGGCACACTTCTAGCATTTAGTCTCTCACCTATAGTTTTTTTAGCTGTTTTTCTGCCACTACAGGTTTAAGTTTGTGCTATAAAAACATGTGCATTGTCTGAATTTTGTCCCCAGACTTGACCCTCATCCTAAGCCCTGGGACAGACTGCCTAACCCTTCCCTTCTCGCTCAGCCTTCCCCAGGCTCTTTGGCTTTTACCTCACTGTTCCTTGCCACTCTAAACATGACTCCTAGATTTTCACCTTATATACAAGTGTGGTTTCACTGACTCATTTCTTTGTACCACCTTTACCTTTTTGCTACTTCTGCAACACAAATGCAGCTCCAATGATTCTCTTCCATGTCTTTTAGTGCTGGTCATCTACACAAATGTAAAGTTAGCATACTGGCCTATCCCTGAAAGAAAATGATGGCAGCTGTCTCTATATCCTAGCTATGTTCTTCAGTTACACAATTGTCTCCACTTAGCAGTCATTCTTAAAATTTGCTGATTGTTGCTGTATTTTTAAGAGTTGTAGTATTCTGCTAAGCAGCATGTCTCAGTATGTATTCTGTCACACATCTGTGATTACATTTTTTTTTAAACTCTTGGTTATAGGCACACTCTTAGCTTTTGATATAGACTGTACACAACATCTTTAGACACACTGGCAAAGTTGGATGAGCCAGAAACTCAGGTGATCTCTAAGTTTATACAGTCCCTGGTTACCTAGGTCCCTTTTTCAGCTTTGTGAGAGTTTTTTCATGATCTGAACACTCTGCTGCTTATTTCACAGGATGCACTGAAGGCCCAGTTGACCTGGTGTTTGTGATTGATGGATCAAAAAGTCTCGGAGAGGATAATTTTGAAATTGTAAAACAATTTGTCTCAGGAATCTTGGATTCACTTGAAATTTCACCCAAAGCTGCTCGAGTTGGTTTGCTTCAGTATTCCACTGAAGTTCGCACAGAGTTTACATTAAGGCAGTTCAGCTCAGCCAAAGACATGAAGAAAGCTGTATCGCAAATGAAGTACATGGGGCGAGGTTCCATGACAGGACTGGCTCTGAAGCAAATGTTTGAGAGAAGCTTCACAGAAACAGAAGGAGCAAGACCATTTTCAGCAAATGTCCCTCGAATCTCCATTGTGTTTACAGATGGACGAGCCCAGGATGAAGTCTCCGAGTGGGCTGCTAGAGCAAAGCGCAATGGTAAGTGGAGATGTTTTTGACTCATTCTGAAAGGCAAATATTGTTAGAAATAAGATGTAGTAATCGTGTTGATGTGCTACAGTATGTACTAATCAAGAAAGCATTTGCCAGAGCAGTTTGGCTAGTACAATGACCACTGTAGCAGAACATCATATCTTTGGTGTTCACAGGAGCCTTTGCTACAAGGCATGTACTTCATCCTAATGCAGGACCCACGATGAGTCTCTCGCCACTGCAGTTCCATGCCATCCACAGGCAGTGGTACTACCCACCTGGCATGCCATGCAGTGCCTTGAACATATCCACTAAAGGTAGACATTTGATACAGAGATTTGGGAACACTGGAAAGTTCATCAAAAATTCTAAGAAAACAATAAAAAAACCACCAACCTGTCGCTTCAAAATACAGGAATCTATCCTCCTGAGAAATACTATGGTAATAATTGATTACTTTATATTTTTATTTACATATATCCTGTATTTTTAACCAATTTTATAGTGCTGATGGTGTTCTGGAAGGAAGATGCGTCCTCTTTACAAAAGGATATAGCTGTAGTGCTGTCTATCTTTCTGTTTCTATGTGCCTTATCAGGTGATATGCTGAAATGTAACTGAAAACTGGTGATTTTTAATTTAGAATATGTCTGGGCATAAATCCATCCTCTAGGACACCTGTACCACAAATCAGAAAATTTTCAGCTGTTTAGCAGAGTCAACTGAAAATTTTCAAAACTTTTCAAGAAAATAAAGGAACCTTTTTTTCTTTGCAAAACATTTTCTGAGAAACTGCTTCAAGAACCGTGGCTGATAGCCCACAACACAGAGAAAACAGCCAGACTTTAGAAGATACTGCACATCTTTTTTCTGTTCTTGTTTTATTGACCTGATATATCAATCATAACTTGATACATGATTAGTATACTGTTGGTCAGGACTGATACCTCTCTGTAAGGAGAAAAGGGAAAAATGTCCAAGGGTATGAGAAGAGCATGTGTTAATAAGGGTGCCATTACAATGAAATATAAACAAAGTGGTTTTTAAAATATTAAAAACAAAACCAAAGATTTATATGCTAACTAGTGAGATCAGAGAAATTACATGGAGGATTTACAGGACTGAAGAAGGAAAGAAGTACAAGCCAGCCTTGCTTACTTGCTGAATGAAACCTCAGCTCCGGACTGCTTACGCTGATATTTGTAATGCTACAAGCCAAATCCATCCCCTGTGTAATTGCAGTGTAGACAATGTAGTAATGCTGAATATGAAATTGGCCTTGACTGCTTTATCACTGATATCTCCAAGTCTTTAAAAAGCAACAGACCTCAGCATGACTGGTCCATTCATTAAATTGAATCAGCTTCTGGTGAATGCTTTACTTTCCTGGCTGAAGTGCAATGGTAGGCAGATTCACGATGAAAAGTAAGGAGACGCTTACGTTAAATGTTAAAGAGTTGGAAAATGTGTATTTTATGATGTTATCAGGCCCCGGATTCTTCAGCAAAAAGGTTAAAGTTGCAATTCAGTGAGTGTGTAGCTGTGATAATAAAGAGGTATCAAACCTCCTCATCCTAAGTTTTATCTGAAACCAACCAGCTGAGAAGGCAGCTTCTGCACTTGAATCTTGTAAAAGAGCATGAAATAATATGAAGCTAATAGTTGTATTCTGAATTACAAAATCAGTACTAGTTGTGGACACTTTTTAAGCCAGATCTGATGTAAAGAGAAATGTTGTATCAGATCAGTTGTTCACAAGAATAAAAAAATAACTGCTGAAAAAGGGGATACTGAAGATGACTATGTTTTGTATTCATTGCTTGTTTAAAATCTGTCTGGTGAGAGGGCTGTGAACCACTTCTTGCTTCCCTGCTTTCAGAGTGAAGAAAACTACAAATCCCCATTTACTTTCTCCCTAGCACCTCTGCTGGAGAAATGCTTGTCTGGAGCATCCCTGTTATGAGGCTCTTTCTCTCCTAGCCCCACAAATAATTTCTTTTCCCATGTTCTTACCCTCATAGGTCTGGGTACCTTTGCAGTGCCTCCCAGATGACTAGTGTCCCTTAGAGTGCAAGAATCTAGTCTCAACGTGCTCTGAGGATTTCAATGAGAGACTACATATTTATATTTTTCTTAAAAAAATACTGCCATCTTTCAGGATTCTGCCCCATTTGCTAATATATAATAGATCTTCCCATCGGTAATTAGCTCTGTTGCACACACCCTACATACACAGACACACATAAACCAGGAACTTTCAGTGCAACTGTGAGGCTGACTTGTGTGATTCTCTTGGATGTTTTGCAGCACTCTTTCTGGGTTCATTTACTATCAGTAGTGGCCAACCAACTGTCATATCTAACTTAAAAACTATCTATTAAATTACAGCAAAGCAGTGAGTTTCTACATATCTCTCAATAACTAAAGCATATTAAGCCTGTTCAAAACCAATTTTGAAGTTACATAGCATATACATTTCTTGTGCTTTTCCCTTCTCTCTCTCTCAAATGACTAATGCTCATATTTTCCTTTCATGGCAGAACAAGGGTTTAGAACTGCTGATGTAATAATTATGTGCAATTTCTTTTGAATCTAGGTATAATTATCTATGCCATTGGAATAGGAAAAGCAATTGAGGAAGAACTGCTGGAAATTGCTTCTGAGCCATCATATAAACATCTCTTCTACGCTGAGGATTTCACAGCTATGGAGGACATCAGTGAAGAGCTAAGAGCCCAAATCTGTGAAGGTAACTGTACTCCACTTCCATTGAGATAGAAGAGGTATAAATGCTTACAGATACTTTGCAGGCCTAAAAGGACAACTAGTTTCCTAGTATAGGTCATAGATCATTGGTGTCAGACGTCGCAAAGCATAAATCACTCACTTTCTGCCCTTTATTACATGAGGAATATAGACCCTTAATCTATCACCAAGTAAAGGTATATAATAATTGCCTTTCCTTTATTTTCATAAAGGTTGCATAAGGTGTACACCTCTGTGCTCAGAAGAATCAATTGCTCCCTCCCCTTTCTTTTTCTACAGATAAGTCTAGCCATGCATGGAACCCCACCCCACCAAAGCAGCATGATCTACTTCATTAGGCATGTGGGAAAATAATCAGGGATTTGTAATGTCTTAGTGAAAATAAAAAATTACTCTTAAGACCAGTGGCAAAAACCTAAACCACAGCAAAACAAATCATCAAGAGCTGTTGTGCGTATTTATAGAAGACTAAAAATAGTTCATTGAACATACATTCACAGCCACAAAGAGTGGATCTCAGTTATGCATAAACTCCAAGTTTTGCTCCACAAATGTGGAAGGTTTGTTCCAGAAAGCACCCTTCCTCACTCTGGCACGAACAGCCTCTATATAAACATTCCCAGCTGAAGTTTTGCAAGGGGAAGGGGGAATGTGAGCTGGGACAAAAGCTGTTCAGCCAGAGAGAGGACAGCATGTCTCTCCCACTCAGACATTATGCATTCCCAGGACTTAGTATTATTTGTACACTCAAATTGGTACCTGAAGCAAAAGTCAGAAACATCACTGTGAATAGTATTAGTCATAGCACTAGAATTGTGCAAGATGATTTAATTTTCACTAGCTTTTATTTAGTTGTTTTTCTTGGAATTAAATGCAAACAGGTTTTATTTTCTTCTCTAATGTTACTGTGTAAAATTGGCTGGCAAGCAGCAGTGCATTTCTTCCTCATACAGATGTCAAGGAAGAATCTGAAAAAAAAGAACCTAAGAATATTTCTTAGGGTGTATATTCTTTGTGTTTCTCTCAGTTCTAAGAAGTCCTAGTTCCATCTTTCTGAAACACAAAATACTATGGTAACATGAAACCAAGTCTGTTCAATTAACCTTCTTATTAAGCAGATAATCTGATGATGATAGCATATCATCTTAAAAGCTTGGGGAGACACCAAATCCAAAACTATCTGGCAACCGGTATAATTCTCACTCATTACCAAACCCCAGAGCTTGGTGATGAAAATGCATCCTTCAGGTACCCACAGCAGTATTTAGCAACCACAGTTTTCTTTTTTAACTACATTACTTACCATACGAAAAATAAGTAAAACCTGCCCCTTTGTGGCAGTTTATAGACTACACCTCTAGTAACTGGGCAGAGCTGGTGCCTCTTGGCTTCTGTCCTCCTCCTCTCTCACCAACAGGTAATGCCTCACACCTGTGAAATGAGGAGCCAGCCTTGTTTTTCTGGACACTCCAGGACTACCTATTGCTCATCAACTCACTCCACCAGAAATTCTGCTTCCAACCCTGTTACACAAGCTGAAAGTTCACTTTTTTACAGCCTAAATTTTCTCCCTCCTTTGCAACAGCAGTAATTTAATTTTTACTCCAGCCTTGGTCCTTACCTGAGGACTTCTGAGGCTCCAGCCTGTGAGGGCAGTGGGAGACCCTCTGAACATCATGGACTCCACTGACAAAGCCTCTTATCCCCAGTCCCAGCTGTGGATGGGCTGCCTGTTTCCAAGTAAAGCAGAAGCCCCCAAATCTCTTTCAGGGTAAGGCTTTTTCCTTTCATTCTGCAAGAATGCATCAGCCTTGTAGAATAGCTGCTGGTTACTATTATTCATTCAAGATGACTAGTAGAAAAAAAAAAAGTGGTTTTCTCTTTTGCTTCTTAAGATGAATTCAGTCAGAAGGTTCCCATTCATTGCCTTGGTTAATGTTCATTTCTCATCTGACTGGAAGCACTAACAAGGCTGCAGCAGTGTCATACATAATACGCACTCATCATGATTGCCTCTTCACCCGTTCTGAGCATGTGCATTATGGGAGCCTTTAATTATATGGTCACACACTATTTTTGTCACAAGACCCCAGCCCTGATCAGATGACAGTACTCAGCAGCCTTGCTGGTTAACGTTCTGTTCTCTTTCCAAATTGCAGATCATTATCACTGCTGCAAATAGTCAGCTGCTGCTTTTGACATGTTTGAAGACACTTTCTCACAGGCTTTTCCTAACAGAATACTTAGGTTTTGTTATAAAACAGAACACTAAAAACAAACACCTAACTTTAGCATTGTTCCCCAACAAATGAGTATGCTCACTGGAGTGACTTCACCAAGGGACTCAGTTCAGGTTAGCAGCCTCTGTTGCTACTTGCCTGATTATTTACAGCTTTACAGAGGTGATTAGATCAGAAATCCTTGGACCCCTACCAGTTTCTGAAGCCTGAAGAGGAGTTTCTGAAACTCCCAGTTCCCGTCCCAAACTGGAAACCTTCTGCCACACGTCTACCAGTCTTCTGTCCCTTACATCTGAACTCCAATTACTTGTCTATACCAGCCCAGTGTCCAAAGCTCAAAACTTTTCAGGTCAGTTCCTCTGCCCTTCCTAGACAGCCTCCTCATTAGCCTACAGCTCTTAAACAACTTCTAGAGCAAGTCATTACCCAGGGTCAAACACTCAAGATTCATCTCGCCTGTTTCTTCCCTCCTACACTGGAAATCTCACCATCCTTGTTCCCAGTTGATCATTCTTCTGCTAGATTCCTCACACAGTTTGTTTCATTCCTTACCTTGTGATCTCATCCCACACCTCTCTGCCCTGAACTCTTCTTCAAAATCTGTGTTGCTTCCACCAGCTGGTTACCACAGACTTTTTGATATATATATATTGTAGTTCTTCCCACTGAACTCTGGTCTTCTTACTCAACCACTCATCTCCATTCACTCCCTGTTGCTCATGTTCGGTCATTCCAGCCCCAACTCAGAGGGTCTTACCTCCTTCCCAGTGCAACTTAGCCCAGCTGCATATATATTATTGCACATCTGTCAAAATTCACTAAACCAACAGAAATCCCAATAGCTACAACAAACCTCTGGGGCCCAGAAGCATCTTCCATCTCCCTTCATGGCATATCAGAAGAGTTTGCACCATCCCCTTTTACCCTCACACATTCACTTTCCGTGAAGGAACTCTGGGTATATTTGCAGGGAGGGAGTCCCAGATGTTCCATCCACTCCCCTGGCATAGTTGATCAAGTCATGCGGTTGTTAAATATATGTTCTTCAGTTCATCTGGGCCATTAAGGGCTCCACAGTTAATTGAAGGTAAAGCATTTATTTTCTATAAAAGAACCCATTCTTAATGAACGACAGGTGTCTCTACATTGCCCTCTTGCGGCAAGAAAGGGGTAGTGCACAGAACGACTCGTGGGTATACCTGCATATAAAGTTTCCATTTCTTTCCAGACACCCTTTGACTAAAAAGATGGGTATGTGGAGTCTGAAATAAACTCCTACATTTTAAGGGTGTGCTTCATGAATTTTTTTTTTAATTTTTGCTTATAACTGTAGTGCATCAAATAAACTCTACTGCACCCTTCTCACCTAAACACTCCCAACTCCCTGATCAATGTTTCCCATTATAAAGAAGACAATTTAAGGAAAATAAGAAATTTCTTCCTTCTTCAAGCAGTTTTTTGTTCTTATCAAGTTCACCCCAAGGGACTCATGAATAACAATGAAACATGCAAGAATTTTCACTAAAGGACACAAAGTAGTCATTTCAGATTGCTTCACTACTATAAATCTATTCGTAAAGCACTTCTTGTTTTGGAAGAGTTCCTCCGATAGTCTGAGTTGAAGGGTGAGTCCTGGAGTTTCCATCAACACTGAACCTCTTCTAAACTGCACAGGTATGAGGCATTCTCCATGTGTTACGAGAGACAGAGAGAAACACCAAGTTACTAATGAGAAACATCTCCGTTTCTAGGGAATGTGAACATTTTTATTGCTCCTTTTGTGATCTCATTTCCTTTGGCAATTTCTTTCTACACCAGCCTTGAAAGAGTCAGCTCGCCAGCAGGATCCATCATCTGGGAGGCTTCGCAAGACTGGTCCACAGCCTTCAGGTTTGCTGTTTTAAGTCAGTGTCCTGCTGTCTCCCCAGATCATTGCTAAATTGCCTCTTTATGCCGCCTTCTGTAAAGAACCCTTAACAAGTCACCTATAAGAAAATTGTTCATCCCATTCCCTTTCCTACCCCGCTCCAAGCCACCCTCCTTTCTGCAATTCAAATCTGCTTTGTACCAAAAATTTGAGATTGACTGTAACAAACACATGGCTGCATGCTTCTTACACCATCCAAATGAATTACTTCATGGGGAAACTTGTATTTCAACACTGTGCTTGTTATTTTAAAGCATGTTCAGCTTTCAATCACTTCTGTTTCTCACAGGAACCTTCACAACTCCCTTTCAGTTCTGCAACCCACAACTTAAATCATGTATACAGTAAATACAGCCTAACAGCTCCTTCACATCTTTGTATCCCTAGTCCTCTCCATGAATGATCCTCACTGCAATCAGTGAGATTACTCACTAATTAAGGAGAACTCAGTGCATGTGAGTAGAAAAAAATACTGTATAATTAAGTGAAGTGGGTTTGATTTTTAGACTTTTGGGGGGTTTCCTGCAGGACCTGAATCAACCACAATAGCCATCACAGATGTCATTGCCTGTCCCAATCTTGCAATACACCACAAGTATCTTTTTGAAGACAGTCACACTCACTCAACAAGAACAACAGGTAATCAGGTTACCTTTGTTTAGAATAATCCAGACTGCTCTTTGAATATATAGGCCCAAGTGTTGTGTACTATTTCCCAGTATTTACAAAATCTGCCCCAGAGCATTCCTTTGGATGTTGACCTGTTTTGAGAACAGGAAGCTGTATTAAACCTGCTCTGCATTTATAAGTCCTTGTCATTTCCTGCCCCATCCCATTGGATTTATTCAGCATTTAGCCTATGCTTGACTGTTTCTGTTTTTCAGCAAAAGCTTCAAAAGATAAAGACCAATGCAAATGTGAAAACCTTGTGACATTCCAGAACTACGCAACCAATGAAGTAAAAAAACTCACCCAGCGATATATCCTTTCAGAATTGTTTCTTATATACAAGACAAGTGGGGCAGGTTAAAAGAAACTAGAACACATCAAGTCTAAGCTGTCTCCATAGCTCAAATCAATCTACTGTAATGAAAAGCTAAACTACTTAATAGATGTTAATCTCCAAGAAATAAGGCTTTCAAGACTTGCAATCTGCCTCTCCTTCATAGAAAGGACCACAATATTAATAAGGATCTTAACTTTTAATAATCTCTAACAGTAAACACCTTCAGGGACAGCAAAGAAATGACTGGTCAAATTCAAGACTAACACTCTTTGCTTTGGGTTATTTCTTCAGATGGCATCAAAATAGCATTTACTGGCTACAGGAGTCAGAATACAGGAGATGTTTCCCTTCTGAACCGCTCGGTAAAGTGCCAGATGCAGCGAGTCATTTAAAACAATACTCCAAATGAAGAGGAATTCACAGGACTGAGACCCTATTAGTTTTGCATAAAAAATATGCAGATAAAAATTAGCGAAGAGCACATCAGCAGCTTTCCCCCCCGACAAGTTAGTCTGTCTTTTCAAGGGAGCTGTTTGTACAGTAGCCTTTACACTACCTCTAACATCCACCAGATGTCTTGGGAGACAACAGCAGCAAGTTGGCAATACAACTGTCTGCATTATTTTGCATCATGCAGTATTCATGCAGCAATTTCCTGCGTCTTCTTCATGAAAGCTGCCTCTGCCTCATCAAATAGTAAGACGACATCATATCTTGTATTTAAGTTTTGTAACTGTGTGAAAGAGCAATAAGCACTCTGCACTTTCTGCACAGAAGAGTGCAGGGATACCAACGGCTCTTAACTGTGTGCTTCCTTGACAAGAACAGCTTCAGACTGAGGAACTTGTGGAGTTAAGTCTGTCCAGAATCAGGCTAACAGAGCCCTCAGTGGTCATAAAAACAGGCAAGACCACAGAGGGCTCTGTTAGCCTGATGCAAAATACTGCCTACCAGTTCAGACTTACCTTCAGCTGTAACTGCAGCAGCCAGCCTCACTCTCTCACCTTCCCTAGTGAATCCTTCAGCAGGTAGCTTAAGGAATCATGTTCTGATCACTTGATTAATTTTAAATTATTCCATGCAAAGTAGAATACCTTCATAAAGGGGGGAGAAAGCCATTGCATAAGGTTATTGCTAGGTGATTGAAATGCTCAACATATATACTTCTCTGAAGGGACTTCTCTAAAGTCTCCAAATGACCAGAGAAAAATTTCTACGTCATTTCCCACATCCTTAAGAGCATTATCCAGACATGCAGTTCCAACCTCGATGCTGACAAGAAAGCAGACCACTCCTTCCCCCTTCAGCAGAAGCCATAGCCTCTTCACTGTAATCTCCTGCAGCTGGGCTATGAGGAGCTCTGAGCTTACTCAGAATCAAAGAAAACAGTTTAGCAACATGTGTGGTTTTGCTTTACAATTTAAGCAGCAACCCTGGCATCTGAGAAGGACTCAAGGTGATGGAAAAGCTGCTGACACTGAGCTGAAGACCTTTGCATTTTGATAGAACTGTGCCAAGCACTTCCCCAGAGCACTGTGCTTATCTACTGTGCTAATCTAATTCTTGCTAACTGCAGAAGACTGCTGGCCAGTCCCCATCCCAGTAATCTGGGGGGAGTGCAGAGAAGGAGAACTGGCTACAAACCTAGCTCCAGTTACAGAATATAAATTTAGAGGAACCAATCCAAACTGTTGATGACTTGTATCCAACTTCATTTAACTTTTTCTATCAGTAGATGAATGCAGTTTCTACTGCTTGAACTTTGCCTCTTGTAAACACTTGAAACATTGATGTTGCATAGAAAGCAGCTCAAATGATGCTGGCATGCATCTAGTAATCCCTTCGGCATGACAGCTGAGGAATTACCAAACCATAAACCTGATGTACAGGCAGGCTAGTCCCCACAGAAGCAGGACTCCCACTCTTGGCTCCTTACTAGCAAGAGGATAGATTCTCCTGCTGTCAGTGTGACTGGGAGGGGAACACACATGGCTGTTCTGGCCAAACTCAGAGGCTGAATTCAATTTGCCAGTCTACCCTAACCAATTTCTAATAGCCCTTTGTCGAAGATCCCACTTCCATATGCCCAGTTCTCCATTCTTCCTTGTGCAAGACCTTAAAACGTTGAAATCAAGACAACAGACAAGCAAAGACTGGGGTACACCAACCTAGTCCTTCTAAGGCAGGCCTCAGTGCCTTCAGTTCTCTCCTGATGCTAGGTCCCCTCTTCCTCTCAGCTTCCCTAGCTCCACCCTTACCATGGCTCTTGGAGAAAGGTGGTCAGGTAAGCGGTACCAATCCAACCTCCTCCTGCAGCAGACATAGCATTCCTGTCAGCTGGAGGTACTTACCAGGAAAGTGATACTGTACACTGCTTTGCATTGCTACAGCTTCTTATTTTCAGTGGAGCCAGCCCTAGATCCCACAGAGCTTGTTGTGCTCTACTCCACATCTGTCTGGAAACCACTGGCTTTGTAAAAACAGTACACTATGCTACACCACCAAAGGGCAGGAATGTAAGATCATCAGCAGACATTCTTACTGGAGTCATGGAGCTCCATACAGTTTTATAATTTACTGTTAGCTTACATGTTGATTAAGTGAAACATTTTTTTAAACAGCATTAACTAGGCTAAATATTTAGTTTCCCTTTAAAACAGGAAAATGGCCAGTCTTCAGAACCACCAGTCTTTTTAATAAGCTGCAGCATGAACTACATGTCAAGTTATGTCTGTTACTGAATGGGACTCCACACAGCTTCCTCAATTCAGCTGATAGAAGCAGAACAAGAAAATACAGGGTAGTATTAGACCAGAAACTACTGGGAGTCAAAGAGGGTAACAAAGAGGAGAAACAAGGGCAAGTTTACAGACCACAGCAATCAGGCAGCTGACAGTTTTGTCTATCAATGTATCCTATCAGTAGCTCTCTTTCCTTAACATTTGCCTACTGGAAGAAATGACAAAGAGAATGGAAGACTTGGAAAACAGGCTAAAATACTGATCAAAATTTGAAGTGATATACTACACTGTGTATTTATACATACAAACTTGTCAGAGCTATTTTCTTAAACTGGTTCAAAGTAAAATAACAAATCCTTGTTTCTGAAGTTGAAAAGAGTGTTTTGGATCCCTGCATCTATATACTGTGTTCTGTCTTGCATTGATTGCAGATAAGAAATGTTGAAAATTTTATATATATAAACGATTTAGTAACTAGCAAAAAAATCTGATTAAGCAGAACTAAACAACTGAAATAAGCTATGCAAAATAATAAAGTGCTGTTATTTTTTGAAGTGAAACCTCCATGTTTTGAAGTACTTTTAGAGTATGAATTTATGTGGCTTGCTTTTCTGTATTTCCCTCCTCCACTCACTCTGCTAGCATTTTAAGCACCCTATCTGTATGGATATAGAGAGTTCTATATATACATACATATATAAAAACAGAACAAGTGGGACAGCATTCACAGCAATTAGGTTTCACCTGTATTCTTCAAAAAGTAGACTACTGAAATCAGTTGGACGTAAAAATACAAATTTATACATTTGTGTTGAAACTGATGAAAGTAAATGCACAAGTGGGAAGTCTGCTGGATTATCAGGGTATCACAATCTAAAGTTTCAAGTACTTTTTCTCTTACCACATCCAGACCATCTAACTTCTCCGTACTGTTCCTTGGTCAGCATTCAGTGATTCTCTAACTTTCCTGAATGCAACTAGTATTTTAACCATAAAAACATTCTTTGAGCAATACAACTAGCTGCACACCTGTTTGTCAAACACTAAGACACAAAACCAGCAAACGGCTTCCAGCCATTCTGACCAACTGAACTGCCTTATAGTTTTACTCCTTCCCTTTGGCAGCAACGGCATGCTTCTGCTAGCTTTACTTTCACACCTACAGCCATATCTAAAACGATCTCTTGAACCACCAAAATCTGTGGTTTAATAAGTAGAGACACCAGCACTTCCTCCTTTGCTTTGACACACATTGGTTTGCCTCTTTTCTATCTCCAAATGGAAATACACAACTTCTGCTTCTGGTATAGAATGGATGAAGTAGTTGCAGCAAAACTAGATTAAGTGATCTCAGATAAGCTAATAAGTGTGCACAGATACATAACAGCAAGCTTTAAAAGGTATCTTGTGCTTTGGCATACTTTGGCAAACAGAATGCAAGTTCTGCAAGCAAACCGGTAGATACCAATATTAATTAGGTGTTTCTTTTATTGCATGTCAGCAAAGCACTGGCACCTCAAGTAATTATCACTAGTAATAAGGAACATCCTGCAGCCATGGTCTTGCACAAAACTGGCACAAATCTGTAAGATACCAATGTCCTCAGCAACAGTGACTTGAGAACACCAATTCATGTCTCTAACATAATGTCTTCAAAACACTAAAAAAATTGGAGTAATTTAAAATCAGCTTTGAGAAGTTAATTGGTTATCTTATTTGAAGTATGATATTATACATCATGCCTAGCAGCTATCCTATTTGCCATTTGACAGATATATATTCTCTTGGAAGGAAAAGACAAAGGGGATAATTTGCATTAGTACTTTGTGTCATGGTTTGACACTTTGTGATTGACTTGGTAAAAATAGTGTGCTTTTTTTAGTGTAAGTAAACCCTTTGGGATCCCTCGCCAACATCCCAAATTTGCTACTGTGCCTCACATTACACCTTGTTTTTGCATTAGCATTCCAAAACAAAAAACTAAGGAAGCCCTAGCCTGATTTGGCACCATACTCGCCATCATCAAGTCTTCCTCCGCTTACCTCTTGAGATCCACAATTTCTAGAGAAAGAAACAGGCAAGTTTTGTCCTGTGAGGGTTATTTCTAACAAAACAGGAAACACAGCAGTGGTAATGAATCTTCATTTATATAGTTTGTTCCCTAAAACCAGCAAAGGTATAATACAAATTATTCTTAGAACAGATCCGTAACCAGTTTTATTGTAGAAATAACACCTTTACAGCATTTACTTCTCACTGGTTTGTTCTGGCATGCTTCTAATGATGTCAGAGTCACCTGTAAAACAAAAATACATTGTTAGAAGAGGACCCACAGAAAGATGTTTCAGGAATAAGCCAAAAAATAAAAAAAAAACAACCAACGAACACACTGATTCTACAAATAGAAAACAACTTACAAGCAATACAGTCTACCAAAAAAACAAGTAATTTTGATGGCTTGATAAAAAATACTTGTTACTGTATTTTGCTAATCCATACACAATATTTTTACAATAATTATGTACCTGTCACTAGCATGTACAAAGCCAGTACTAGAGCAATAATCTAGTCCTGGAGGACACAATGCATAGCTTTAATATAGCGAATGTCTAGCCTCCCCTGATCACGAAAATATCAGGACAGCGAGAATATTCGCATTACGTTATGCAGCCATAAGATTTACTTGCAGTTCCTTCCCCACCCAAAATCAAACCTAAAATTTTTAAAAGTTTACAGCTAGTATTTGTATACATGCAAGCTAAATAAAATTTTCTGAAGTAGCACTGAATTCAAACCCATGTCACTTGGGGAGCATATGGTGAAAAGTTATTACAGAAATATTAAATCCATGTGTATGCATTTTGGTCAACAAACAAAAGATTGATTTTTCTCTTAGAAGATTCTGGAAAGAGGATGAGAAGTCACCTAATTAGCAGTCTGTACAAGGAGCTTGAGCAACTCTGGGACAAAGAGCGCTACCAAACCACAGTAATTACACACAGACTTACACTTTTAAAATAAAACGTTTAATATCATTTTCAACTCTGGATTAGTATCCACCTGCATATAGGTTATTTTTGTATATATCATTCTGGGAAGCAGGACAACTCACAATCCTTTGTCTTAGATTTAGGTTGACATAAACAGCACATTGCACAAGCTCACATTCTAGCTGATGAGCTCAGAAACATGCACCATAAAGTTGCTTCCCAGCCACTGAAACCTCATTACAGACTGACAGGTAGACAAAATGCATGCTCAAAGGGTTTAGCAGTAAAAGGAGCTGTGTGCAAACATGAGCAGCAGTAATTCCAGGTTCTGAGAACCTAGGACTCAGAAAAGAAGAACAGGATCTTGGTCAGAAGAAACTGTAATTAAGAGTTAAACCTGACAGAGAAGGACAGCAAAATGTGTCATCACCCCTGCACGTTACTTGCTCGGTGCTGCTACTCACAGGTGAACAGAGGAACCACCGACACATAGCCATTTGGTCACTACACTGTAAGAGAGACATACCTGGGTCAATGATAGCCAGTGTACACACTCTGTAGTATTTTCCACATGCTGTGCCCAATTCAATGTTGTTGCCGCTATAATGGTGGACGCCAGTCTTGGCAAGCATAGCGTAGTACTCAATCTCTGATTTTCTGAAATTCAAGAACTAGTGGTGTTACAGTACTGACAAACAATTCTGACTGTAATACAGCAAGGACAGCTTTAGCTCCAATCACACTTAAACCTTAGAGTTTTCATTCCCACCCAGAAAAACACACCTGTTCCTTGCCAGACAACATCACTACCGTATTGGTGCTTGGGAACCCTTATCCAGAAGTATGCTGAAGGTATGTAATGGCAAACCCACTTTTGGAGTACAAATCCTTGAGATTGCTCCTACACATGCTCATTTCTACAGGAAAGAAGGGGATTCAGGACTTCCAGACTTCTGAAAGGTTGTAGGAGCTAAGCCAAAGTGCATAAACGATGACCATTATTAATGCTGATACCCAGTGGCCAGATGCTGAACAGACATCCGGCTACTGCTAGCTGTGAATGAAACTGTGTATTTCTCTTTAAAAAAAAAAAGTCAATCTATAGTCCCTTGTCTTCTGACTTCCATCAGGAGATTCTAGTGGTCAATATTGTTCCTCAAGCACTTCTGGGATCCTCACTATCATGTTGCCTACTCTAACAGTCCTGCCATTTCTCAAGCACCTAATTTTGGTTTTCTGCATTTGGAGTTTCTTGAATCTGTCAATATCCCTTGAGGACAAAAAGGGCTCAGAAATTCAACACAACAAATGTCAGGAAGCTAGTAAAGATTTCATTCTCAAAATAGCAATTTCACTGGTCAGGAACCTAAATTTATAAAACTTACTTGGACAGCAAATTTTGTGTGCTTCAAATATTTTAAATAAGGGTCAATTACCAATTTTGCTACCTGTAAAATTATTTTCCCATACACTACTTAAAAAAACCACAGGAATTTAGCCCCATTATGTGAATGCTATCACAGTGTGAAAAGCCTCCAGTATCTTTGCTAGGGCAACCTCTATGAATTAGAAAGCTAGAAAAATGTTGGGAAGCATCTCAATGCATCCAGACCTGAAATCATTATACCCCAAACGAGCCATCACCTATTTCATAGCACTCTGGAATATGCCAGCTAAGTACTCTGAATTAATAATTTACTGTAGCAATTAACATGAAGTGCACGCTGTGTTTGTACAAAGAACCTATCTTAATTTTAAGGAGAATTGGTTTTTCATACATCTGCTTACCTCAAAGCAGGACAGTTGTTGGCTAGGATGACCAACTTGGCTTTGCCCTGCCGAATCATTTTCAGAGTCTGTTTGTATCCTAGCACATATTTACCACTTTTCATAACCAGCTGAAGCCTAGAGTTTATTGACTCTAGGGACTTTTTCTGAAAAAAACGTAGAAAAGCATTATTGTATGTTACTCTACATTTTGCAAAATGGCGGAGAACACAAGAAAATTAAGAAATTCCAAATACAAGCAATCCTTTAATAATTTCCCTATAATTTGCAATGCAGAATAAGAAAAGCCAGCCTACCATCTGACCATGAGAAAGCTTGTGGATAAGGGGGTTGCTGATACTATGTTTTCCCAACTTCATAAAAATACCTCTTACCCACCTATCTTACAATAGAAAAACACATCTTAGAGCATTGTGGCTGCTATCCGCGTTAATCAGTAACATCCGCGTGTATGTGACAGGCCTGTATCAAAGCTCAGCTAGTCAAGTCCCAGTAAACACCACCTCTGCCTTGCAAACCTAAGCCAGCTTTGGAGTATGTCTCTTCCTAGGGCGCACACCAAGAGCGTTATACCGGCTGGCAGAAACAAGTAACCACATGCAGTACGAGCTGGCACTCCCAACAGGAGAGCGTGGTGCTCGTGAGAACAGGTAAGTGCATTTGCAAGGACGAACACCACCATCCCACTAACGCGAAGCCCATCCTTGCCAGAGTCGCTCTAAGAGAAAGGCAAGAGCGCGGCAGGAGACGCAAAAGCTGAGCTCCACCCGCACTAGGAGCTCAGCACCGGCTCCCCCTTCCTCCAGCGAGCCCAGGAGCCCCGCAGGCAGCCCGGGAGAGCGCACAGGCGGGAACCGGGGACAGAGAAGCGGGTGGGAGGCGGCCGCAGGGCGCGGCCGGCAGCCTGCGCAAGGACGGCACGGCCCGAGCTCCGAGGGCCGCGACAGGCGCCTCCGGCGGTGCCCACGGCCCCCCCCGCCACGCCCGGCCCCCGGCCCAGACCCACGCCGGGGTCC